GCAATTCAGACACACTATCTCTTTTCAGGTTTTTAACAAGCTAATCAGGCGTTACAAGTACCTGGAGAAAGGCTTTGAAGATGAAGTCAAAAAGGTATGGAGTAGTGGCAGAAAGAAAAGCCTTTAAATTCTGCTAGTTAATTGCTCTATGCAGAAGAATTATAACATACAATAGGTTATTAAAATAGGACAGAATCTTGTTGACTGAGTAACAGCAAGCTTGTATGACTGGTGGAGAAAGCTGCCAGTGTACTAGCACTGATGCTAGTTGAGTAGCTTGACTGAAACAAAAGTAAGCGTCTATCATGGAAGTAGCAGTTCCTCTTCCTCTTGCAGTTGCTGCTGTTCCTGAAAGGGTTCTCAGAGTCTGAGCGGAACAAACTGGCCATGTTGACAGGTATTCTGCTAGCCAATGGGACGCTTAATGCATCGATTCTCAACAGTCTGTATAATGAGAATTTGGTAAAAGAAGGTAAGTGTTGTCCACCTCTTCTGTTAGGGGAAGGATCATGGGAGACAGAACATAAAGTATAATTAGGCGGAAATTATGATGACAATAACACTCCTGCAGCTCACTAACTTCATCTGGTGATAGATTTACTTCAGGATTAGCAAAGGTAAACATGCTAGCTTACTGTCTGGAAGGTCTCGCTGAGACTTCAGAAAAATAGTGTTTGGGGGAACTTCTGTATAGGACTTCTCTGCATGACACTGAGGGCTGCAGTCACTAGTGTCGTCCTGCAAGGCACTACTGTATTTTGTAGAGGGACTTTGGAGGGTGCGGAAAGTGTGTTACGTCTTCAGGCTCCTTCCTAAACCGCAGCAAGGAGAGTAGAGCTTTGTACAGGGAAGCCTTTACAATGCTCAATTGTGAGAGAAGTTCAGCAGGCTGGCGGCTGTGGTGTCCTTGCAGACTGGGCAAGGGCTACCTCTGAGCGCAACTGCTGCTGCTTTGGGCTGGGGTGTGACAATATAGATGCCCTGTACTCGGTCCCTTTTAGTTTTAAATTTCAATACTACTACTGCTGTTTGTGTTGCACAGGTGTTTCTGCAGCTTTTGCAGTCAAGCTGTTCAAGTCATGGATAAATGAGAAAGATATTAATGCAGTGGCAGTCAGTCTTCGTAAAGTAAACATGGATAACAGACTGATGGTGAGTATCCCTAAAACTAGTGTTGTGTTCTGAGACCAGTTTGGTGAATAGCATTTTATCAGTAAAGTACTTGACAAGTTTCTCTTTTGAAAGAGTTGTTGTAAACTTTGCTTTCAGGAACTCTTCCCAGCCAACAAACAAAGTGTTGAACACTTCTCTAAGTACTTCACTGAAGCAGGACTGAAAGAACTTTCTGAGTATGTTCGCAATCAGCAAACCATAGGAGCTCGGAAGGAGCTGCAGAAAGAACTTCAGGAACAGATGTCACGGGGAGATCCATTCAAGGATGTAAGTATTTGTGGGCAAAGTGTACATGTGATTTCCTTCTGTAGGAATTTAGCTCAAATTATATGAAATGCAATAGCATTTAATGCCAATCTGAAAAGGATCTATGCCTAATTAAATACTGAGCTTAGACACCTAGTTCCCACTACCCATTACAATTAGTACCAGTGTGGTTTAGTTTTGTAGTTTTCCTTAATGTCCTGAATCTGGCTGCACTGAAGGCTTCTGAACTCAAGTTTTAATTTAGTTTAGTGTCATATGTGACCTACATGGTGACTGTTTGTCTGGCAGATAATCTTGTACATAAAGGAGGAGATGAAGAAAAACAACATCTCAGAACAGACTGTGGTAGCCATAATCTGGTCAAGTGTAATGAGCACTGTGGAGTGGAACAAAAAGGAGGAGCTGGTAGCAGAGCAAGCCATTAAACATTTGAAGGTATTGTAACCAAGCATGGGCTTTTGCATCTGTTGGGTAGGGCGTGGGCTTCCTTTTAAGCTTCACTTAAAGTGAGTTGAATTCTACAAATACCGTAATTCAGAGACAGCATCAGATGGGGCATTTTTTCCCTTGCAGCTGTAGAGTTGTAGTCCTAGTTGTTGAGGTAAGAACAGTATGTCTTCTGCAGGAATGCTCTTGGGAGGTGGGTGGGAATTGCTTCCCCGGTATGTGGGTTGTAAATTTCTAAGCAGTGGCTGATAAAAACTGAAACTACTCTAGCCAGGCAATAAATGCTAAGGAATGTTATGTGCGTGTGTGTGTGCCAATTTGTTATTCCTGTTACAGCAATACAGTCCTCTACTTGCTGCCTTTACTACCCAAGGTCAGTCAGAGCTTACTCTTCTGTTGAAGATTCAAGAGTATTGTTATGACAACATTCACTTCATGAAGGCCTTCCAGAAAATAGTGGTGCTGTTCTATAAAGGTAACTCTGAGATTTTTGCCTTTTTTTTTTTTAAGCCTCAGTTGCAGAATTGTTCCATCCTGGTAAGGCTTTTAGGGAAGATCAGTGCTATGACATTGCTTTTCATTAGCTGAAGAATTTACTGTTAGTTTGCGAACATGAAGCTCTAAAATGCGAAGGTAGGTGCTTCAGTCTTTGGCACATGGGGAAGTGCTGTAGACAAGAAGGATGTGTACTAGACCAAAGCTGAACTTGGATTTTAAGACTCTTTGGCATTTAGAACTTATGGAAGGATTTTATCTGTGTGTTATTCCTAGTTCTCTGTCTGAACAGACCACAAATGACCAGAGACTGAGACCACCAAGATGTTCTGGGGTGCTCAAGGGCTTCTGTTAAATGACTGTTAAGAAGGTATTACTCAGAAACGTGCTTGTGCACCTGTAGGAATACCACAGAACAGGAGGAAACTTGTTAAACTGAAGATTATATTGTATCTGTAAACTAAAACAATTAAAAACAGTTCCTGTGGTGTCCTTTGGACTTGAAAAAAAAATATATCTGTTCTTAGCTGTTGACTGAAGTTTTCTTTAGTATGAAATCTCAAATAGCTAGATGCAATGCTGAGAAGACCAACAGCAACCTAGCTGAAATGCAAGGTTCTCAGAATTTTAAAACAGGAGGTTCTCCTAGCACAAGCATGTCCAGCTGTGCCCAAGGAACAAATATGTGTTGGTGGAATTTCTAGGGGAGAAATCAAAGGCTGCCAGTCAGGGGTTCTCAATAACTGTTACTCAGCAATTTGCTGTGTTAACAGTACTTTTGTACATGTTACAGCTGAAGTTCTGAGTGAAGAACCGATTCTGAAGTGGTATAAAGATGCGCATCTTGCAAAAGGGAAGAGCGTGTTTCTGGAGCAAATGAAAAAGTTTGTTGAATGGCTCAAGAATGCTGAAGAAGGTAACCAAACCTCACAGACTCTTCCTTTTCCCTTTGGAATGCTAGGTGTAAAGAGTGCTTTGCTTTGTGGGGTGGGGATGCTAACTGATCCTCTGGGAGGAGTGTCCCCACTCTTGGCTAGAAAAGCTCCCTTGTGCAGTCACTGTGGTTTGGCAGCTGTTGTGCAGGACACAGGTGACTGGGGAGGAGCTGACCTACGGGCAGCCTGTTGAGGTCCTCTCTCTGTTGCAGAGTCGGAGTCTGAAGCTGAAGAGGGCGACTGACCTGTGAAATTGTCCTCAGTAAAGCAAACAGGAGCTGTAGATAAGTGTCATGTCTCTTGTGTCCGTCTGATTCTTACATCCTACCTCCCTGTATCAAGCATGATATAAGGGCTCTCATGGCAAATTTATTTAAACTGTTTTCTATAGTCATTGAAATACCGGGTTTAGTTTTTAAAGCCATGTTTTAAGTAGCTTACAGGAGTTACAGATTTGACTCTAACCTGCATTTGTCCTTTCAGTTATATTCTACCTCCTGTATTTTCTACTGTAATAGTGTAATTTAAGGCCTTCCACAATGAAATCCATTTTACCCCTTGGGTTTTCTATATATCTGCATTTGAGTAGACATGATTTGGTAAATGAGATTTATGGCAGTTCTGTTTGCAAATTAAAATGTAAGAAGCCTCTGATGTGAAGAGGCCGTGGCTTGTGTGGTAACTTGGTGTGATACTTTAATGCATACTACATGCTTCAAAAAAACCTCGATTGTCCATCTCCTCAAGGACTTTGTCAGCTCTTTTGCTATACTTCCAGCATAACGTAATATTCTACTCAGCTACTGGGAAAGGCAGCTGCCCTGCTTCTGGGCGCTCAGTGTTCTACAGCAGAGAAACTCCTGGTGGCAAACTCCTGTAACTATGGTGGTGTATGAAGAGTGCCATCTCTGAGCCTGCTGTCATAGCTGGTGGACCAAGTTCCTGAGGGACAGCACAGCCTGTCAGGCTGTCTTATACCTGGGCATCAGTTCTAGGGCTCTTGTACTTGTCGGTCTCTTTGCAGCTTCTCTGTAAGTACAAGCAAACAGTGCTGTCCTGAATGCAGCAGCCAAAGAGTTTTCTAGAGCACAGGCTGAAGCTGCTAACAGTACTGGGGTAAGGGCGTGCCTTGTTACATGTACAGCTGCTGCAAGGTAAAATGAACAAAATCCTATCCCTGCACCCCACCCCCAGAATGAGATTTTATGCTGGCAGTTTACATGTTAAGATTATTTGTGTACCAAAACTTGGTGTGACTTCTTAAGGGCAATTCTCAGGACAGCTCATAATTCAGGAAAGATCTGGTAAAGACTAAGTATACACTATTGTAAACTAAAAATCAGCATTAACTGAAATACTTATAACCAGAGTACACCTGTGAAAGTGAAAAAAGAAATTGGTAATCACAGTGCAATCTGATCTTCCTTAATTTGTAACTTTAGTTTTTTTTTTTTTTAATAATAAATAAAGGCCATCCTTAAACTTAATGCAGAGGGTTGTGTCTGTTCTTAGCCCTCCCACCCCCCAAAAACATCAGTTACACAAAACACTAAAATGATTTTAACTGTCCCACCTCCCTAGATGTTTTATGATTCCAGGGACAGTTCAATAAAAACCAGTAATATTGTTTTTCCTTTTTAAGAGAAGTCTATTTTGTAAGATGGATGGTGCTTTTTCCATGTATTAATGTAAAAATGTATTGAGATTTTATTTGTTAAGGAAACACAATCGGGTTCATCAGCAGCTTTTTCTTAAATAACTTTTATGTCAGCAGCTAAGTTAAACTTAAGTATCCAAAGAGAGGCATTAATACAAATAGGGCATTTACAAAATAACTGTACACAGTAAATATTTAAAATCTTTTATGTTTCTTTGGCGGACTGATACCATCTGTATCAGCATGCTCAGCTACAGGAGACAGCGCAATTTTTTCTTGTTTCAAGGGGAAGAAAAAAGGATGCTTTAGTGCTTCTTCAAGAGTAATGCGTTTGGCTGGGTCATACTCCAACATTTTTTGTATGAGGTCAAAGAGGTTCTCATGGTCAGAATCCTGGCATGTCATGAATTCCTTCATGAATAGAAGACAAAAAACTTTTTTTAAAAAAAAATCTCGTATTTACAGCTCCCCTCTCCTGAAGTATTTTCCCTTCTGTCATTTTACCTTCAGTGGCTTACAACGTCTAGAGACGTATCTACCAGCAGAACTGTGTTCGTCCCAATCCAGCTGGTCACGATGGAAATATTTGCGTTTCCTTGAACAAACAAACCATGATTTGTTACTCAAAAATTCTGTTTTGCCCCCTCCCAAATATGTTTATCAGCACGTTACTCACAATGGAAAATACCTACATGAGAATGTTCCACGTTTTAAACACAAGTTCATCAGTTTGCCCTTCTCTTGTCTTTTTCCTTTCCTTTTTTCCCTTGTCTTTTCCCCTTTTTCTTTTCTCTCATTTCTTTTCCCCATTCTTTCCTATTCCTTTTTCTTACCCTTTACCTTTTATGTCTTGTCCCTTGTCTTGTCATGTCTTTTCCCTCATCTGACTTGTCTTTGTGTTTTGTCTTTCCCCTTTTCTCTCGTCTCCCTTGTCTTCTCCCTTTTCTTTTCCCTGGTCTTATCATTTCTTTCTTTTCACTTTCTTGTTTCCTTTTTCATCTCTTTTTTCTTTCTTGTCCCTTCAGTTGTCTGTGTTTTGTCATTTCCCTTACGATTTGCTGTTAAACCAAACTTCTATTTTAATTTAAAAATGAAGTTGTGAAGGTAAAATGTACTTACCTGGTTTTCTGTATCATATGACTAGGCAAAGGCCCCAGTATTCGCTCCATCATTGCTAGGTGCTCTTTGCTGTCATGGGTCTGGAAGAAAACGAACAACAACATGTTCACCTTCATTGTTAGAGGAAGTTACCATGAAGCACAAACCAACCATCCTTCAACTTTGTACTATATACCATGCAAGCAATAATCAATTGCAGATTAACTAATAAAGAGAGCCTGTAGTTATCTGCTACCTGAATTGACTTACAATGTACTTTCTTTTTTGGTGTTGTTCTCATCTTTTACCCTGCTTTTCCTTTTTTTTGGTTCATAAATTTCACCTTCCAGCACTGCTGTCAGAACAAGTGCTTTGCATGCTTGAGTAATACCAGATGCCTCTGAGAAGAAACCTTGTTAGTTGCAGTAGAGTGGGATCTCCTTTCATCAAGCTGTCTACACTGCTTACTAGTATGTAACCTGTAGCCTCTTCCAAGAAAGCTCCTCTTCTCCTCAACTTGGCAGCGCAGACCAGTACAGCACAGTATCTTGCACCCCTCCTCCCCCCCATTCCACTCAATTGTCTAAAGGTTATTTACCAAGTTGTGCTGCATCTCTTTGAGGTTCAGCTACCTACCGGAAATACAGTGAATCCCAGGTAGTATTCTATGAGGATACATCCAATGCTCCAAACATCACATGGCTGTGCCCATCCCAGTGCTGTCAAAAAATTCAGAAGCTCATTTTTATACTGTACTACAAACAGCTCAACAGCTTGAGCAAGCTGTATTTCTGGAGCACAATTCCAGTTAAAAGGTAGTGCTTTTCAATAGCATACTAAAATCCTGAAGATGAAATCTTACCAACATGACAGACTGCACAAAACTCATTTCCACTATGAAAATAGGCAGTACTCTGCCTAACCAGGCACATTTAAAAACAAGACATTTTTTTAAAAATCAGTTTTCCTGTATGTGGTTAGTGCTTAAAATTATCAGCACTGGATTAAAAAGCAGACAGTTCCTCTTGCACTAAAAAGACTTCTACTGACCTAGAATAACTTCAGGAGCTCTGTAATGTCTTGTAGACACCAAAGTACTGTGATGCTCATCATCGTACGTTGCACTCCCGAAGTCCACAACTTTGATGTCTGGATTTTTCAGTGTACGCTCATCACGTTTCTGAAATTAAACAGACAATGGGATTCAAGTGACAAAATAAGCCCAGAAGGCTGAGGGTGGGATAGGGAAGATGACAGCAACTTACCAGTTTGGGGTTATACTCTTCTGTATAATCAGACTTCACAAATAAAATATTTTCTGGTTTGAGATCTGTGTGTGTCAGTTTGTTCAAATGCAAAACTGCAAGATAAATATCATTGTTAGCAAATTCTGTGAAGAAAGTTTAATGAGTAATAAAAAAAGAAATACACTTACAGTTCACAGATTTGCATATCTGATATGCCATCTGTCTAATGTGGTCCAGTCTAAATGGCAAAAAACCATTTTCCTTAATGAAGTCATAGGTACTGAGTCCCAGTAGCTCAAAAACAATGCAGACATGTCCATGGTGCTCAAACCATTCCAACATCTGGACACAGCGACTGCAGAAAGCAGGAAACCATATGAATTTCAACACTTAAGTTATATAATGCTGACATCGTAACACATCATATAACATCGTCCACTATGGCCTTTTAGAGGCTTAACATTCCCTTGTGTGTACGCTAACCTACTTCAAGTAGCAGAGCTTCAAAACAATCAAAAACCCTAACAAATGTTGGTTCCAGGTGAGATGCTCCAGTCAACTCAGACTACAAAAAATCAGAATACAAAACCTTTCCTGAACTGAGAAATTAGGAACAGGAGGACAATGCCAACAACAAAAAACTTGCTGGAAGCACTGAGACCCCTTCCGGTGACACTTAAAAAGCAGCCCTGGGAGAACTGATTAAGTTCTAACCCACACAAGAAGAACATTATAAGGGAGGTAGTACTTCAACTTGTGATAAATCTGCTCACGCATTAGTACAACTGCTCTCGCTACAGCAGACTCCTAAGTCAGTCTCACAGGTCTGAAGAAGATCATGTGAAAATTTAATCCAATCCAGAACTAACAGCTAGTGCCTGTCAAGGCTTGGCAGCCCTGTGCTGCATGAAAGCTCACACCACCAGAGGGGCTGGTGTACAGCTGTACACACACATGCAAGAATTAGAGCATCCTTTAAAAGGAACAGCAAGGGCCCTCAAGCTTTCTGAGACACAAAGGAAGAAACCTGGTATGATTTAGGAAAAAAAATACTCAAAGCTATCATGTAGTAATTTTGAGTTTGCAGTACTGAAGTTAGGGTTTTTGTCGTGTTTTGATTTTTTTTCTAAAACACACACGCTATAGAGTATTTTTAAAGCCAAGGTAACGTACAGTCTTTTTTGTACACTTACTATGTATTGCTGGGATCTGATGCATTTAAATGTTCCAGTACTTGTATTTCTGAACGTGCTGCTTCGGAGTACCGATCAACATTTTTCACTATTTTCACAGCTACATGTCTACCTCCCCTGAAATACACACGTTTTAGCAGTCATTAGAACGATGAGTAGTTTCAACTAAGAGTATTCAGTAATTACCATCATATATATTGTTTAATAACAATATTAATCGCTGAACCTTATCAAGATGATTTTAAGTACATACTGACTTTCAATTAAAAAAAATCATATACACAAAAGCACAACTGAAACTTGGTCTCTCATCAACTATTCACTTTTTAAACTTACTTGATACTTCGTACATTGGTGGTATTCTTAAAGATTAAATTACTGATTTACAATATATCATGTGTTTACGTATGCTGGGCTGCTATTGCAGGAACTTCTACCTCTTGCAGCCCAACACAACTGTCAAAACTGACAGATTTTCTTCAGTTAAGAAACAAAAATTGAACTATCAAATGCCTTCTACACTAACTAGAAGACAACCAACCTAGTTTCATACTATTTTACAGAGAAAAACTGCCATCAAACAAAAACGTATTATTGATTTATAATATACTCTTAGGACCCAAACAGCACTGCATCACTGCAGATGATATTTGAACGTATGCCACAGAGTATCACAGGCTTCCTCCCTACTCAACAGAAGTAGGGAGGTGCAGGGCCTGAGACTCACCTTCACCCAACTAGGTCTAGGCCACCTGCCAGTCAGCCCCTTACCCTCTGCCAGGGACAAGTTCTCAGGCTGAACATGCACCCAATGGCACCTCCACCAGTCCTGCCTTACCGTTAAGTCAAGGTGCTCTTTCTGCCACTATGTGCTAACATACATTTGGAACAGCAACAGGAACGCTACCTGGCCACTGAAAAGGAAACTGTAATTGCAACTTTTCTGCAGGAAATGATCCAGCAAGAAGGCCTAACTGCAGAATGGGTTAAACTGGCTGGAAGCAAAAATGCCAGGGACCAAGTGACTTAGTATGAGTGAGGTTTCCCTTGCTGATAAGAAACAGTCGCAACATTGCATTGTAGCAATTGCGAAATGCCAATTACTCAAGGCTCCCCTTGGTGAACAGAACTGGCACTGAGAGATGACCCAAATGCCAGGCTAAGACTCCCCATGCCTAAGCTCAAAGGACTGGGGCTGGTGCAAGTATATATGAAGACTCATGACACATCGTCACAGACAGGTGTCTGTGGAACTGCTTACCACAGCGGTCCTCTGTCCAATGCACTGTTCACTTTTATCTTTTCATATTTAAGCACAAACGTGTGCTTACTTTGCCTCAAGGTACACAATATATTTTTTCAAACACCGTACCATATACGTTTCAAGGAACATGCAAGAAACCTTCCCCAATGGGAAAGCTGAGTTAATAACTAGAACAGTTTGATCTCTAATTCCAACCACGAAGTGTTCAGAATTCCCCTGTTGATGCCACTTGAAAATAAAAAACCACCTATTGTTATGTCAAAATGTAACAAAATACAGAGCAATACATGAGAAAGTAAAGGTAAACTCAACAGAATCAATTGGAAAGCACCTCATGATATTCATGCTGTGATAGTATCAGCAAGAAAAATTACAGGTATTTATTAAAAAAGACTTACGCTTTGTGATCAATGCATTCCACTACTTTTCCAAAAGCACCTTCACCCAAAGTAGCAACAATCTCATCTAAAAAGAAAAGGACTGTCAATCACAGAAGCTGTGAAGTTACTCAGTCATTAAAAAAACAAGCAAACAAAAATAAAACAAACAAAACCAAAAATAAATACTATCACTGAAGATTATTCTAGACTGTGCTTCTTTAAAAATGTAAACATCTAGTTTGAGAGATGTTACTGGACATCTCTCATCAAGGCACATTTACAGGTATCTCATTCTAGAACATTCATTAACTTCGTTTACTATTTTGGGGGGAAAAAGGGGAAAAAGAAACAAGAAATGCATTTAAGTTCTACCGAAAAAGAGTAACAATCCCCCTCCACCCCCACCCCCCCGAACAAAACAAAAAAAGACAGAAAGAAAAGACTTCCAAAGCCCCCTCACATCTTACGCTAAAAGAAATTACTCTATCTGAAAAGTTAATAAGTTTTGAAAAATATTCTATACATCTTGCACTTAGTACGTCTCCACTCTGACAGATCAGGTGACCCTCCTCATCATCCTCTACACTCCTGGATCTTTTCCTTCGATGACTCTTCTGGAACGGCACCAAGATCGTCCAGCCAATCAATAAACCCGAGTCAATTCAGGTCAGAATACGAAATTCATTCAGCAGGGAGATATTCAGGCATTCAGATACACGCCAGGCCACAAACGGTTGGCAGGAGCAATTTCAAATTCAGTCCCCAGAAATTCACAGGGCATATAGTTTATGTTACAGGAGAAAAACATGGCAAGGAACAGATTTTCAGATAAGATACTCAAAGTGGCAAGGCAACAAAAAATTACAACACAATTTTTTTTCTTTTAAAAGACTGGTTCACTGAAGTTTGCTTTAGGATTTCAGTGCCCTCACTTCTTATAGCAAAAAGATTTAATTGTTATCTTATATAAATTACCCCTGTGGGCTAACTAGAATACCCGTCTTAAATAAGTTGAAGTCGCTGGTCTAAATATTTAATAATAGTTTTGAGTTTGTTCTTTTTAATCACAAAAATAACATATATATTTACTTTCGTCTGCCTCAGCTGAAGATATTAACTACAAATCCTATCTTCAACTTTTTTAACAGTTAAATATATGACGAAGTTCAGAAAAACTACCCTGCTACAGGACAGTTTCGTAGTTATCCGATTCTACAGACTTTTACCAAGACCTAAAACATCTTAATCAATACCAAAAAAAGTGCAAAAATCTGACATCCTTGCTTGATTTCAGTGATACTTATTCAAAAGCAAGTTTGAAAGTTTGTATTTGGATTTTTGGGTAGGGATGAAATAAATAGTTGACATAATTTTAAGTTTTAAAGGCATGAAAGCAATGCCTGTATTTTAAGTACTCCAATTCATCGTTTTTACTCATTAATCGGCTCAAATATATCTAACGAACAAATAGCAAGACTATGTTCTGTGGTATCACAAACATACCTACAAACTGTATGTTCTCACTAAAGAGAAAAAAAATAGTAAAAAAAACCTATTAATATAAACAAAAGAACTAATCTGTAAATATTATCAACACACTTCCCCAAGCCCCCTCAATTACTACTGCCCAGATGAGAGATTATTTTCCTAAAATACAAAATCCTAAATTAAAATTGGTCATACCACCTGTGAATGATGATGATGATGACAGGCACTGTGATGTGTCTTGTATTTCCTTTTGTAACTACTCCTCCCACTATATCCCGATGATTTGCTACTATGGTTGTGATAACCACTTTCATGGTCTCTGTGATGATGTCCATTATCATATCCTGGGTTGTACTCGTTTCTGTATTCTTCAACATAGCGTCGTTCATGATGGTCTCTCTCATTTATGGATCTGGATTCTGAACAGTTACTACAAACAAAAGATTAAGTAAACCTAATTAAATAACTTCCAGTATCTCTGACAGCTTTTTGTTGTAGGGTGTAAGACACCTATCTTGAAAGATCTCCAACTCAAAAAATTAGTATGTTATCAGATGACCAGATCAGGATAGTAAAATCTTAAAGCACGTCCCTATTTGTATCAGAAATCATAACATTATTTACCTATCAGTAAGTTTAGAAAGATCATGCTTGAAGTGCTTGTTCTCCTGTGTACCACTAAATGATCTCCTCTTCCTCTTATGACCACTGTCACATCTTCTGCGATCCCAACTTTCTTTTTCATCCCAGTCAGGATAATTAGTTCGCCTGGAATGCCGCATCTGTAACAGAAAAAGTATTTTGCTCTTTGAAACAGCTTCCATAGACAAGCCATTAGTATCAAACTGAAAGTATAATGACAATTTTTCCTCAACTACCCAACTTTGATTTTTTCCCTCCTTTCTCCACACCATTTTTAAATTCAATTCATTTCAAAATAACTATTTTGGTAAGTGAATAAAACCCAATAAAATAAGCTACCTCTTAAAAGCGAAAGCACTGTGGTCCAGGTACTAAACACACACTGAGAATGTTACTTCTGCAAAGCTGCTCAAGCACCCTTGTTTATAATAAATGGTGTGTGCACTGGGAAAACATAAATCGTATGTGTACTTAAAAACGCATACAAAGCACTGGAACAGGCTGCCCAGAGAGGTTGTGGAGTCCCCTTTGGAGATACTCAGAACCTGCCTAGATGCCACCATGCACAATGTGCTCTAGGTGATCCTGCTTGGCAGGGGAGTTGGACTATAAGATCTTGAGAGGTCCCTTCCAATCTGGGCCATTCTGTGTGAAATACTGCCCACTGTGCTTTATACAGATTTCAGAAAATCTGTCATGAACTTCTATCACGCTTTTCTGTAGATTCCCGGAGTATTTCCAGTGCTAACTCGAAGTGGCGGTAAAACTCATGGATCTACTAAGTATTTAATTACTGGCTTTCTAAAAAAAGGTAAAGTCTCTTAGTACTTTTCCTTTATTATCCGATCGTAAATGGGTCACGTCTCGCCAGGCGCAGCTCGGGCAAACGCGGCAGGGTACCGCAGCAGGACGCTGACCCCTGCCGGCGCCCCCGGCCAGCTCGGCGCCCCCAGGAGACAAGAGGCGCCTGTCGCAGGGCACTCGGCGGCTGCCATCGCCCCCGGGGTCCCTGCCCCAGGACGAGGCCGTGGGCTCCGCTCGGCCCCGCGAGGTGCCCCCTAAGAGCGACGGCCGCGGCCATTTTGTCGGGGCACGGCACTAGGCGCAGGCAGACAACATGGCGGCCGCGGGGAGGCGGCGGCCCAGCGCCCACCCGAATCAGCGGCGCCGAGCCGAACCGAGCGGCCGCGGGCTGCCCTCATCCCCGGCAGGAGGCCACCACATCCCCGCACCGCGGCAGCGTCCACCGGGCCATCCCCAACCCCTAGGCAGCTGCGGTGGCGTCGCGCCCTGTCCCATCCCATCTCGCAGCCCGCCCCCGTCCTTCAGCTCCCCCCTCCCCTGCACGGCAGCGCTGCGCCCTGCCCGCCCAACCCACCTCAGCAGCTCGGGGTGCAGCCGTGCTCGGGGTACCCGCTGTGCTGTTCGGGGTACCCGCTGTGCTGCTCGGGGTACCCGCCGCCCTTCTCCAAGCCGCCACGAACCGCCACCAGGGGACCGCCGCCGCGTCGCAGCTCGCCACAAAATGGCGTTGCCAAGGAACGTTCTGGAGCGCGGCCCCGTCACACGGCGGGGCGGGGCGGGCCGGGCCCAGCGGCAGCGCCCCCTCAGTAGCCCCGCGCCACCTGCGCTGCTAAGGGCCCGCTGGCGGCAGCTTCACGGTAGCCTCCGGGACACCGGGTGGAAAATTCTGGCTCTGAAAGTAGCCCCAGTGTAAAAACCTTCTCCTAGACTCCTGCCAAGGGCTCTTCAGCATCGCGTAACGCGATGATGAAAGAAATAAAGCTAACCCCCATTTAAGAGTGACCACCAGAACGCTGCTTTTTGTGACTCTTCATGGACACGTCATCATTTTTGCTCCTTGGCAATAAAAGCCTGATTTGCTGTTGTGTTTTTGTTGTTTTTTTTTTTTTTTGCCTCTCTGCATGCCCAGACAAATTGTTCATGCACATACTCAGCTTTAAAGCAGCACACGTTTAAAGTACCTCTGTTGACTAACAAAATAGAGTTGTCTCTAAATGATTGGCATTAAAAATATTTCTAAATAGTTGGCCACCACTTTTTTTTTTGATGTGTCATGGAATCGTTTACTAGCTTTTAGTCATGTTTTCAAGGCTGGGTGGAACATAAATACCCATTGTAAAACAAAATAAATACAACTCTTCAAATAAACATACAGATGTTTATTTTTGCCCACAGGACAAAAAGAAAAAAAAGACTCCCCCAAAACGAATCCTTGCTTTCCTGCTCACTGCGGGCACAGGGAAGCAGTTGTACCAGACAGCCCACCTCCCCCTGGGTTCTGCTCACCTTGTTCTCATGGCACAAGCTCCGCCACCCATCAGCCACCAACTTAGCAAAGCTACCCAGCACCACACCTGAAATTCAGTTCTCCAAAAGCCCAGCTGTCCAACATCTTGTCTGCCATCTCATTTATGTGGGAAAAGAGCACCTAAGGATAAAGGAGTCCTGAAATGCTGCAACAGTCTATATATATCTGTTCTCTAAACCCAGATATTCCTTTATTCTGGAAAGCACTAAACATTCTGAAACACTTCAAAGCCTTTATAGATGGCCCTCCTCGCTTTTATTTTATTTTTTTAATTTTCACCAACTAATCCTATAGCTGTATGCAAGAACTAAACTGCACATTTGCTGTACCCATCAACCAGCCCAAAAAAATTACACTTCCACTCTTGTGTCTCTCTCAGAAGTGGATGGGACCAACCCCACCGTTATTTTTCCTGTTGTATTCCAAGTTCCCATGGAAGAGGTTCAGAACCATGAACAGGAAAACAAGTGTAATATGACTCAAAACAGGATGCAAATCTGTCCCATGAGATCACTCCCTTTTCAATATGCAAGTTTAGATAAAAAAGGAAGTATCTAAATGTATGTATCATGCAGAAAGCAAATTGCTTGCTGTTCCTGTATTTCATACATTCTATAAATCAGTCTTTTTGTAGAGGTAAAAAGCAGACCTGAAATTCTACTGAGTTCAGTGCTAGATGTCAGCATTTTAAATTAGAGGAACTAATTCCTCTAATATAACTAATAGTTCCTCTGCACTGTAGGCAAATTCTCAGTATGCATTTCTTTCTGCATAATAGTAGTGGCAGTGTGTCAGCCCAACATGCAGTTGCCTGCTTCTGTCTACTTGCTGCTGTTATGTGCTGGTAACATGAAAAAGACAGGAAGAGCACAGAGCTGAAATAATGAAATCCTTTACCTGACTGACTGATGTAGTAGGGTATAATGTAGGAAGTCCGGAGCAAGGGCTAGGAGCTTTAAGCAACACCACATACCAAAGAGACACATAATCTCTTAAGACTTCTGCTAACAACATTTTGGCACTTTCAAATGCTTTTCTTCTTTTTTTTTTTTTCCCCTTAAACACACACCTGAACTCCAGAACAATACTAAGAGATGCAACAGAATGGATATATTCCTCATTCATTCATCCATACAGAAATTTTGTCCCAAAGAGAGGGTACTGATCTACTCTGGTAGACACTAAGCCTTTGCTTGTTAACTCCTCAGAAGCCTGTACATGCATACCTTTGCCTTTCTCTTGCAAATAATTTCACCTCTTTATTTTAAAAGGCAAAGAGATGGATGCAGGCATTGTGGGTGTCTCATACACAGTTGGAATTGGAAATGTATGCTCTCACCTCTCTGTATGATAGCCAGAAAATGGACCTCTGTGGAAACAAAATGATTTTTCCTGCTTCAATAAAACAAACTGATGCCAAAATGCATTTTTTAAATCTACAACAAGGAGGTTTTCAGGGAAGAACAGAACACTGCTTTGCCTAGTATGCCCAAGGTGGAGAACTGCTTTTCTGCATTCAAATTGCACTTTTCCCTGCTTAAGTCAGTTTATTTTATGCTTACTATACTAAGTGAACTGAGCATTGGATCAGTAATATACATATTTGTACGTATGTATTTTATTTTTCCTTCTGTGCACTCAATATTCAGACATTTCTGTACCTTCTCGCAGACTTTCTTATTTGAGTCCAGCAACATTTGGTCTCAAACAGGACCAAAGAACATCTCTCTCTTATTTGTTCTTCAGTATCATCTTAGCCATAATATCGTTTATTATTTTGGGTATATCAGTGTATTCTTGGTTAGAAGTCTGACCATAACTTTTCAGTCAATACTTTTTGTTGTGTTTATCCTCTACTGTTTGTGCAATGAAGTGATGAAAAACAAGTTAATAGTAAATCCAAGGTTACCTTGTTTCAAACAACAGCTATATAAAGACACAAACACTCACTCTTTCATTCCAAGAGTATTGTGCCAGAGGCTAAAGCATTTGTTTATGATCTACCTTCCACAGAGGCTGAAGAGGTTACCATCCCAACATGCCAGTGCAAGAGCAAGAACTCCTCTAAACATTGTCTTTAATCCACTAGCAGAGAAAAGTTTCCTCTATTTGTAACACTGCTTTCACCTAGAGGAAAAAAATACATATCTTAGTGAATTTTCTAAAAAACTGTAAGGAACATTAGAATTTACATGGGAAAGTTTCAGAAAACTGACACTATGAAATTGTAGCAAAGCCCGTTGTTTCAACACAGTTATCACAGTGAAAGACGAGGCAGAAAACAAAGGTTTGCAAAAATATATGTATTTTTGAAAGTCTTTTCTTGTTTTACAAGTTCAAGAAGCAAAGTTTAGAAGTCAAAATCAAGGAATATACTCTGGAAAAACTGTCTTCTGAAGCACGAGACTCCCCTGTGACAACTCCCAGACAATGTCACAGCACCTGAAAACCCTGCATTCAATGACCAAAGGTATGATCAAGGTTAAGTCCCCTTTTTAATGACACTCTAACCACCATAATCACCCAGCAGTTGACCTGACCAATCTCTAAAGAACGTGTCAAGACTGTTTGTGGCTACACAGCAAAAGGGTTGGCATGAATTGTAATATCTTTAATGCGAACATCATTAAGAGGTCGGTAGGTTTTCTCATTCACAGGCAGCTTTTCCAGCTCATCCAGGGACTCCAAGCCATCAATAACTCTGGAAGAAAAGCAGAACTGCTAGGAATCTCCTTCTAATAATGACTGAACTTTCACAATGGAGGTATCTCAAAACACTTCACAGTTAGCCAAGTATCATAGTACAAGGACTCTGCAAGCAAATTATACAAATAAGGCAGCCAAAACTTTATATATGGCATATAACCTATTTTGAAAGGAAATGTTAATCATCCATAACAGGTTCTGGTAAAAGAATGAATAATTTCCACAGACCTGACAACAACATATTTTCTACCAACCACACCTCTGTAAAGACCCTGGCTGCACTTCCTTGCAGGCAGGACTGACCAGTCAACTGACTGACAAGACACTAGCCAGACCAGACCTCACTGTGAATTACTGAAATCCCATGGCTAGAAAGTCAACTTCCAAATGTGCAATTACAATTACTAAGCTTCCAGCACAAAGACAAGATTGGAAAGAACCAATAACTGTGCAAGTCTAATGGCACAACTGCATTTAAACTTTCAGATGCCCAATCGGGCTGATGAAGTGGTGAGAGGGATTATTCTAATAAACCTCTTACCTTTTGGTTAAGTCTTGGCAATTTATTTCCCAGTAACAGACTTTGCAGAAAACACACACCATTTACAGTTCAGTTCACTGTCACATTCATCAGCTCTTTGAATCTTGTATGCTGAATTGTGGGCTGGAGCATGGACTACATATTCTGTACTCCTGATTCTGCAACTGGGTCAGGAGTATCTTAAACTGCCACAGAAAATCTGGCAAAGTTAACCTGTCAGAGCCTCTACTCTTTTCTAAGGAAGATGTCCAAAAAAAACCTTTCAATCACTACTAAACAAACACAGAAACAAAAGGAACACCTATGCTTATACCTGCCTATACCTTCCACCTGCCTATAAACAAAGCAGGTGGAAGGCAATAATATTTTTCACTTTTCACCAGTTTCTTTTGAATATTTAAGTCTTTGAAAAAAACAGATTTTTCTCAACAAGATTCACTTGCATGCTACAGACTTCTTAACAACAAACAAAAGAAAAGATATTACCATGATTTTGAGAAAGAAAAAGCAGCATTTGAAAGACTCAACAATTAAACATTTGCTTTAGGGATGGTATGTTATCAGTTTTAAAATAATGATAAATCTTAAATAACCTAATCTAGTTTTACGAACTGCCGGTTCCACAAGTTTTATCTGCTCAACAGAATTTCCGTCTAAACAAAAGTATGACAGTGTCAGTACTGCATCCATCCACATACCGAGTTCCAGATCAGACTCTTGCTTGTCAATAAACCCTACAACTGTGTATCCAGTTATTTTTGAGTTCACTACAAATTAGGATGCACCCATTTGGGCACAGTATGAAATGGCAAGCAGGAACAACTAGCTTAAAAATCAATAAATAACAAAAAAAAAAAATCAACCCAGCTCCATTCTTGAGGTAATTGCATTCCTTACTACTAAAAATGGAGCAGCATTTTAGGGTAACTAATTCTGATGACAGTGCAAGAGCATACATTTACATATACACATCGAATATTTTAAAGAGCTTTAGAACCCAAAGTTTCTAAATTTGTACTGTACGTGCCCTGAAACATTCAGATCCATCACACTCTATGGCTAGGAGGCAAATGGTTGGATCACTCACTTCCCAAAGACAGTGTACTTCATATCTAAGTGTGGTTGCTTGCCGTAAGTGATGAAGAACTGCGATCCATTGGTATTTGGGCCATTGTTTGCCATTGAAACCACCCCACGGACACTGTGCTGAAAGAAAAAAAAAATCAACATGAATGAACACCCGTGAAAGCAGGACATCAACCTGTACCAAGTGCTCAGTGACTTATTGCTCTCCTCAATGTCATTATTAAAACCCATTCTTGTTAATACCACATTCTATCACAACCCACATTATAACAACTAGCTCGTCAAATTTGCTTTTACATTGAGAAATGATTCCTTTGCCTTCAGTGCATGAAAAATATTTTGTTAAAAATTGCTGCTTCTGTTCTCAGCAATGATAACCCTCAAATCTAACTTGCTAAGTATTACAATGCCTGCTTCTATTTTAATAATAAGCTTTCTATCCCTTCCCTCTGGGATTATACTTTATTTCACAATCACAAAACAGGTAATTTAATCTAGCACAACACTGATCACCCTCCAACCTGTAAAGAATTTATCTGAAAACATAACTGCATATTGAGAGCACAGAAATACCTTTAGGTATTCACTGAATTCATCTTCAAACTTCTTTCCCCAGATGCTGTTACCTCCTTTCCCAGTCCCTGACAAAGAAGAACCACAATATATTAATGATTTTCAGACTGGGAAATGCAGGAATAACGTACCGTTATAAAATTTTACAACAAAGATCCCAGACAGACTCTATTTTGTTTGAGCCAGGCATAATGATCTCATGGCTTGATACTGAGGAGCGCTAGAACTCTATGTAAAAATAATGACATATCCTCAAATTAAATTCAGTATGACTGCAAACAGACACACAGTTGAATCAGACAGTCTCCCAAACAGTTAACAACATCTGGGACATTTTCCCAAATGCTTTAGAAGAAGTGTAGCCTTCCAGCCAAAAAAAAACCAGAGAAACCACGACAGTTAACTGCTACTAGTCATACATGTATTTAGTGGAAAGAGCTGAAAAAAATCAAAGTTTACAGAATGCATTACTACTGCATTACATTATTTAGAACCAGATGGATGCTTTTCTGTAACCTCACCACAGGAAACTTTTCAGTAAGCTTACATCATTAAAACCTCTATTAACAATACGATAATATTTTATTTTTTTTAACATTTTGTTTCTATAATTATTGATATTTATAATTTCTTTATATTTCTTGATCCTTTGTTTTACTTCTATATAACTTTACTATTGAGATGGGGAAGATGCTAAAAACCTATCTGAATTAGTATTTAGCTACATATATGGTAAAATATCCTAATTATTGGGGATGTGGATGAGAACCTAAAAATATCCTAATTATAGGGATGTAGATGAGAAGCAGATGTTAAAAGAAGATATCATGCAAGCCCAACAGATGATGGAAAAATGAACATCTCATTAGGAAAGAATGAACAACTTGTTGGTAGGAAACAAGGCAAAGATAAACAAAAAACTTCTAAATACTGTCCAACAGCAGGTCAAAGTCCAGAAAGGTAAAAAGTGTAACCTCCTCTTCCTTGTTGCCTTCATCCTGAAAGAGCCCAGCCCACGACCACCAGGCTACATTGTGCAGGCGCAACCGGAAGGAGCTAAGGGTGGGGACTATGGAAATGAGTACTTGGAAGAGGCCCACCTTTTCGGGGAAATTAATGAATATGTATTAGAGCTTATGTAATATGTTAACAGTATTTGTGTATAAAGTTGTGAGAGACGACCATGCAGGTGCGCACTTTTTGAGGGAAGCTATTCCTAGTGTGTCCGGTGCACCGCAATAAAGTATACCTACTTTACAACCCTATGTGGAGTCTTTTCCGCGCGTCACTATAAAGAGACATTGACAGAAGAATTTACCTAATGGATCCCCTGTCTGAACCATGAAGCCCTTTATATTCCGATGAAATACGCAGCCATTGTAGTAATTACTAGCACACAGAGCCAGGAAATTCTAAGGAAATGAAACAAATCATATTAAAATATTCAGAAATAATGTTCTCTGTTACTGAAGTATTACTAAAATGCATTGGCAAGACTAAAAACTTTTGCCTCTGCTTTGCACTGTGACCATGTAATGGCATTTGTCCACTGTCCCAGACTACTGTTGACTGTTAAAAAAATATAAATAACACTCAGGCATCTTCCTTCCCTCTGAAGAGCTTGCCATTGTTACAAACAGTACCAAATGCAATAAAAATTATCTGCAGGCTATACGGAAGTAAAAAAGGCAACGGTGAAACTGTTCACAGATAGCATGATCCAGGAGACAGATCTGATGAGGGATTCATAAATATTTTCTTTCATTTGGTGAAGGAACATGCATTTCTTTGAAAGGATCTCTACACCTTACATAGTTTATGAAACACAATTTGAATACCTTTATCCTTACTGATAAGTACTGGCAATTAGTTTGCATGGAAAATGCCTTTAGAGAAAGACAATTTCACTTCAGTTCAAAGATGGACTGTTGGGAATGAAAGAAGCAAGTTTTGCACCTGAGATCAGGAAGACTCTGAGATATCAAATTTCAAAGCCTCAAACTAACATAGTACTTAACTTGGCTTAAAGAAACATTAGAACTACAGAATTACAACATGAAGGAAAAAAATGAATTTACAAGTTACTCTGACATACTGACTGCTAAAACTACATGTATCTAAGGATTAAAAAGTCCTGTGTGGCATCTATTGCCAAAAGAGAAACAGCTGTAAAAACACAAGAAAAGTATTTTACAGTATCTATTTTCAATAGACTGCAGTTTGTGTTTAGAGCTCCTATTTCCTTTGTCTCCCATAGAAGAAGGTTATGATGGGTTGAATAATCATTAGGTGAATCCCACAGAGTATTGCCACAGAACAGTCATCCTCAAATTATGCTGAAGTTGCTCCTTTGACACTGTCACAGACACAAAGGATTTTAAATAAAGCTTTACAGCACAAGGCCATCTGCCTTGAGGAACAAGCATGAGGACTGAAACACGTTCATAAATATCATTTTCATTCAACATTTTTATTTTGCAAATGTGTTGTAATTTTGTAATCAATAGCTTCAATCCTCTTCTTTTTTTTTCCCCCCAACAAAAGTAACTGATTTCAATTTAAGCCAGTGATTCTTACTTTTAAGAAAAGTCAAATCTGACTGAGTGCAGGCAAACCAAGGCAAATATGGGAATCCCAGGCCATAACCCATGTTTCACCTAAAGGGCAAAGGACATTTTGGGATACATCAAAACTTGGAGACAAGCAACCCTTAGCCAAACCTATCTGGTGAGAAAGAGGCAGCAAAGCTTTAGGCACTATTACACAACACCCAAGTATACGCTGCACAAGTTCCACACCAGCTTAAAAATGCTAATATTCCATTATGTTAAAAGATAAATTGGGACAGTCATTTCACCTCCTCTGTGGTCTTCACCATTTCTAATGCTTTGCTTCAACACTAGACAGTCTCATTCCTGTTATTTGACTTACTTCACAAGTCTTCGGTGTTCGCTCACAAAACAATTCAATTTTAATATCTCCTACATCAGTATGCAGCGTGACAGCCTGAGCAAGAGTCACAAAAATAATTAAATCAGAAATGAAATGCTAACAGCTAATAGACTCAGTTTCATTTTCCAGTCCTATCGAGAGCATAAGCAAATTCCCACTGCATATAACCATTGTTCCAATATTTGGCAATAGGCAAGGCTACTATCACAAACCTTTTGCCATCACCAGAGAATGCCAGTTTCATTTAATTTCAGGACAAATCAAGCTTGCCATGGAAATGCAGAGCCTCGGATTCATGCTGTTGCAATCCAGAAACACGTTATTCATCTCTGAACTGGACCTACACAGTCACTTCACTGCCAATTTGAAGAATCGAGGTAACATGTACTTGGGAGGCCACACTGTGGTACACATACCTCACTAGTTTACGAGCAGAGGAACAAGGGATGGGCACTACCTGATTACAGCCTTTTGAGCAATAGGATAGTTCTAAATGGCACCATACATAGTCTGCCCTCACAAACAAATAACTGTACAAAATCACACACTTTTCTTAATAATTTATATGTAGGCTTCATAAAATTTAAAGTGACAGTTACCCAGCTACCAAGGCAAATGTATCTCTCTATAGGCCCAATATATATCATAGTGCTTCCACAAAAAGTGCTAAGCTACGTGAAAACAATTACTGTAGTGGTATGCTAGGAATAACTGTACAGAAAAACTAATAAAAATCAGCATCATGATGATACTGGCCTACTGTTCCAGAATTATAAAAGCAAAGTAGAGAAAATAGTTGTCTGCAATACCTTTGGAGACATTACAAAGGTGCATATATATTGTTTAAGACAAATAGTCCTACCTCTAGTTTCTGATTTGTTAAGCTTTCAAAAGCTTGCAAGTATAGAATGTTACATGTACTCAAGCAGGACTATGAGCTTGCAACTTTACAATGCCTCTGTGGTAAAAGAAACAAACTGGATTATGAAGCATTAGCCAAACTAGGATTAATATTTACTAACTTAGAGAAGAAGTCTAATTATATTTTAGACTGATAAATTTGTAAATTAACCCATTTCCCTTTTCACTGTATCTTGTAGAAGTCTTAGATGGAAAACTGCACTTTTCATTAGAGATTCTCCACAGCATCAGAGTACAAATACATAATCCTTTGAGATGCAGAGCTGCTATTCACTTTCCAAGAAGCAAACATTTCAGAAAACATGAATACACATACACTGTGCTATTGTTCTTACCATGTCTGCTCATCAAAAAGCTGAGGTAATTTTGTATATAGCAATTGCCTGCAAAGAAAACATGAAATTTGTTTTGTTCATTTTCCCCCCAGCATTTCCCAGTTCTTTCCGATTATGAAACATTTGTGTGGTTATGAGCTTTTTCACCATAGTTTAGAAGTAATATTCAAGTGACTCTGTGGATAAATGTCTTACTTGCATTATGCAACTGCCCAGCACATAAAGAACCAGAAACTACAAAATAGCTTAGAGAAAGTGTGTGTGGGGGGGAGGCCAAAAAAAAAAAAAAAAAAAGCATTTCTTCAGAAGAGTTTATCCTAAATACTTACACCTTTTTTAAAGATTACAAGTTTTATAAATAACAGCAATTCACAGAGAAAAAACACATACCAGTGTCTACATATAAGTATGATCTCAAAGCCACCACCTGAGAGTCGTCAGTGCCTCCAGAAGACAGGCACCTGCATCCAAGTGCAGGATACAAGGTTTTTTTTAAGTTAATATCGACTTCCACATAAACCATTCCGAATTACAATAATAAAGGATTAACTGTGTGAAAATCAGACTTTTACACACCAACTTCTACCTTCATACCTCCCCCCACACGCAAATAAGAGGCCAGTTCCCTGCCTTGGCAGGCCGTCTCAGGTAACCATGGCGCCCGCAGCGAGCCCAGGCCAGCGGCTGCGGAGCAGTGGGACCGAGACCCCCACAGGGCCCGATGAAGTACCCCAGGGCCCTGCCCTGGGCTCCCGCCTGACCCACACGGCCGCGCTCCGATCCCGCGGACTTAGGGTGCTTCCACAGATCTCCCACCGCCCCTCGCCTCAGACTCCCGGGCCCCTCCCGCCCCGCACCTCACACCGTCGCAGCGCAGAGGCTGATGCCCGCCCCGGCTGCGCGGCGGAAGGGGCAGGGCCCAGCGCAGACTCGGCCCCCTCGGCCTCAAGCTGCTGTGGCGTGAGGTGAGTGGCGGAGCTGCGCGGGACGAGGCTGCCTGCGCCTCCGTGAGGCAGCGGGACGGCGCCCCGAGCCCGAAGGCTCTGCCCCCGCGGCCCGGTAGGTGCCCGCGCTCGCCCCCGCTATCTCCCCCTCTCTGCAGGTACCCGCATGTTGCAGCTGGTGAGCCGACCTCTGTCTTGCATCCGTGCTGCGGGCCGCTCGCCTTCGCGCTCCCTTATGAATCTCGGGGAACTCGTTTCTGCTCTGAACAACTTTGCTTCCCTCTCCCTGGCTGAAAGCTGGGACAATGTGGGGTTGCTGGTGGAACCAAGCCCGCCGCACATTGTGAAGACCCTGTTCCTCACTAACGACCTCACCGAGGAGGTAATGGAGGAGGCAGTGCAGAAGAAAGCAGACCTTATTCTTTCTTACCACCCCCCTATCTTCACACCGCTCAAGCGAGTAACGTGGAAGACCTGGAAGGAACGGCTGGTGGTCCGAGCTCTGGAGCACAGAATTGGGATTTACTCCCCACACACGGCATATGATGCCATACCTCATGGCATCAATAACTGGCTAACAAAGGGACTTGGTGAGATTCTGTTAAGAACAAAATATTGGTCAAATTACTCATCAGTATTCATCATGTTCATCAAATTGTTCTATGTAGGGATCTTCTCATTCTCCTTTCCTCTGGTTCTTGCAAATATGATTTGAGTACTTTTAAAAATTGTTATTATAGTACTTCAAAGTACCCATACCATCTCTTAGGGAGATTCATCTTGGTGAGGAATACGAGATACAAACACTGGATGAAATTTCCAGATGCATGATTTTGCTATTGGATATAGCCAGAACTGGTGCAGCATATTTATTGTCTATCTTGGTTGAAGAGTGTAGACAGCTGACTTTCAATCATTGCCTTTAATTTCTAAAGTACAAGATATCATTGTTTCTACAGGCCTTAAAAGTATCAGAAATTTTTAGATTTTATTTTATGTTGTGGCTAATGCATGAAAATAACTGTGTCTTATCCAGCCTGCTTTACAAACCAGAAACTATTTTTTTTGTTTTGTAAAATTCTTAGGATAAAATTTGAACAGCATTAAGAATGAAAAATAATATATATCCATCAACTTCTTTGCACTTAAAATAGACTGTGCTTAATGGAGACAACAGGAAAAGAGTCCTCATTTCTGGTCAGGGAAAATGGATTCACGTGCAAAATTTTCTCAAAGTTGCATCTCTTTTGGATATATGCTAACTCATTATCTGCTACATCATCCAACTCTCTAAAGCTGCAGTTCGGCGCTGTTTTCTCAGGTGCCTGTAATTCCGTCCCACTGCACCCATCAACCTCTCCAAGCTATCCAACTGAAGGCACTCACCGAATAGAATTCTGTGCAGACACCGCTGAACATCTAGAGACAGTGCTCTCCAAAACCAAAGACATCCAGGAGATCTTCTGTCTCACTACTTTCCCTGTCAGGTATCTGCTTCATTCTCTAATGTTGTGTTTTTTCTGTTGCTTGAACTGTATTTTACTGTTGTAACCACTTCATTCCTCTGTGTATTGCTGCTATTTTTTCAGCAACAGATTGAGAAACTTACAGGATAATCATCCCCTTCTGATCAATCCATGTTATACTACGTGATAACTAATTGCATGTAGCATCACACGAATTAGAAGTGGTAAAGAAGAGTGTTTACAAGAAGTTTAATGAGGACAGCTGAGTTAAATTCCTGTATCTGTTTACTCCAAGAAAGCAGAGTACACTAGACTATTACCATGTCTGGTGTCTTATTTTTTTCCTTTCTCTCTGATAGAATATCCTCTGTGATAGAACAGCTTTATTTTCTACTAATATGATGCTGAAATTTTATCTAGTCTCTTAGTAAACACCAAGCATATCTTTCTTCAGGGTTGAAGATAAGGAGCAAACACGAGTCAGTCTGAACTGCTCTCAGAAAGCGCTGCTAGAAGTGGTGGCATTATTGTCCCAGAACAGCCTTCTTGATCACAAGACTGAGATTCTCATACTACAAAAGGTAAGAAAATCACATATTACTTCCAGTGAATGTACTATTTGTGTGAGCTGACTGTCCTAAAAACTTAAGTCCAGCATTCACTGGCATTACAGGTTTCCTATGCTACCTGTCAGTGCTCTGAAATACTAGCCTCTGGGGATTTGAAGCCATGGACACTTTCACAAACAATGAAAATAGCTGCGTGGTCTGAACTAATTCTAAAATCAGTTCCGAGACCTAGTCTAGTTATTACGTTACATTTAAGAACATCACATACATGTTTGTTCATAAAGTACAGAGGTATTCATCCTTAACACCCAATATACTCATTTTTGTATATTAGGGAAAACAGTGTAAACTTTTGGAGTCAGCTTTCTCGCAGTAATTTGAATTTCTTTTCCCCTCAGCCTCTTCTTCCACATACTGGAATGGGACGTCTATGCACACTGAGTAAACCAGCCTCCTTGTCAGACATTATCGAGCGTATCAAAAGTCACCTAAAATTACCCCACGTCCGCCTAGCGCTGGGAACAGGCAAGACACTAGGTAAACAAACCTGCCAGTAAGACTGCCCTTTTGAACTAGTATTCCAGGTACTGTGAGTGTATGTGAGGGAGTGTAAAATATTCCTGCCTTGGATAGGTTTATTTTCAAGTAGTATGAAGCACTAATTAAAGGCAAGAGTCAGTGTTTTAGATTTTCTGTGATACAATCATGGAACAAGAGCATCATCTTTATTTCTGACTGGCGATTCTGTATTATGCTGGTTGTCAGTGTGAAGGAGGGATACCACAAGCTGAGTACGAGACATATTTTTTCATAATTTCTATAATGACTAAGATTTCTCTCTCCAAGATATCAGATGCAAGTGTGTAGTACCTCACTGTATGATCCCTTTTGTGACTGAATGTTAAATTTAAAAGCACCTTAAAATAGTAAGTGCTTTCTGGTATCCTTCTGAACATATAACCATCCATGCTTCAATGAAGAAGTGGTGACAGAGAAGGCAAACTATCACAGAATCACAGAATTTCTAGGTTGGAAGAGACCTCAAGATCATCGAGTCCAACCTCTGACCTAACGCTAACAGTCCCACTAAACCATATCCCTAAGCTCTACATCCTAGTATGCTAGCTCAAAGGGTGGTCACTACTAAATGGAACATGTATCCTCTTATCCCAGTTACCTATCCAAGAAGCATAGCTAATAGAATTTGTGAGAGCAAATTTGTTGAAAACTCTTTGCATTGTATGAGACAGAAGTCTTGTTACAAGCTTCTTATACTACCAATTGCACTAAAACCAAAACAAGTCTATTTTGAAACCTGTCATTGTGGTGTGGGATTGTAGTGTTTGATTCCAGTCACATCAACAATAATTGCATGGCAACATACTGTAAAACCTTAATAGAATTTGAAAATTCTTTGCCCACCCCACCTCTTGTACTGAACATGCTAGATATGCACAATTAAATTCCTTGTCACTACCACATATCTGTGATTCCATTTTAGATGTGAATAGGAGTTTATACATCTGAGAACTTTTTTTTTTTTTATCTGATTACATCACTTGACTAATCTTAGTGATATTGTTTAGTGGAGGACTTGTTAGTGTTAGGTCAGACTAGGTGATCTTGAAGGTCTCTTCTAACCTAGATGATTCTGTGATTCTGCGATATGTAATAGCTTGGAATCAGCAGTCATAGCAAACAGGCAAATTTTTGATGATGTGGAGGAGCTCTCAGTTTGCAATGAGATTGGCCTTCTGAAAGCTAAGAATTAGGAACCAGTTATAACTCAGAGAGAAGATGCTGCCTTAGTGGCATCATTAGTTTGGAAAACAAACACAGTGGAACTTTAGAGTCCTGGAAAAAGTAGCAGAGAATTAGAGAGTTCAGAAACCCAACCAACGACACTTCACTAGAAAGAGCTAAGCTGCAGTAGCCAGCAACAAATCTTTATGCTGGAGTTTTCCGCTCTCACAGTCCCTTGTAGAAAAATTTCTATGCATCTTCTTGGTACATAGAGGATTTTGCTTACTATCAGAGATGCTGTGGGCCTATGACTCTTTCAAACTGACAAACACATCTCTTCCTCCAACAAATTTACATTGGCCCTAAAATCAAGGTAGTAGTTATTGTGAAACAGTTAATAGCAATACTGATGCAAAGGCTGAACAGAGAGAAAGAAGTTTAATTGTGGCACCTTGTATCCTGCAGATTCGCCAGTGAAGAAAGCTGCTCTCTGTGCTGGTTCTGGGAGCAGTGTCCTGAAGGGAACGGAAGCTGACCTCTACCTCACAGGTAAGAGATTATGTTGTTTCATTATCTTTATAAAAATAGGCACTACAAAAAAAGAAGAAAGAGTTGACTGTTGAAAGGTTTGGCCAGAAAAAAATTGCCTGTTACAACTGAGAAATGATCAGTTACCGGAATGACAGAGTAACACTGAAGTAGAGGTAACATAGATCAGATGGCTGTATGGCACACTGATGGTCATTTCAAGTAACCGTTAACCACGCATGATTTCAAAATCAGTGTTTGATAGAAAAGTCTATCGCAACCTTCAGTGTTTTTTTCTTTTGGCAAGATACTACGTATTTCCTCAGTTCCCTACAGAATTCCCTGAAGGAAGATAGAATGTAACAGACTACAGAATCTTCCACTTAATGACCATAATAGCATATCTGACCAAAGAGATACTTAGTCCATTATCTTTTTTCTGATAGCGTGACAGGTAGTTCCTACAGCTTGCTCCACAATGCAAGGGCTGCCTTGACAAGCCTTCCTCAGTTGCTATCCTCCATCAATAGCAACACTGTTGAGTGGATGTATGACATCTAGACAGTCCACTTCCAAACCACTCTGCACACTTATTTCCTGCCCTAAGTGGCAAAATCTTCTACTATTATTCAAAATTAGCATGGAATTTCTGTGGTTTTGCTCAATTGTACACTGGGGACACCAGCTGAAAGTCCTTCAAGGGATGCTAGAGTAGGAGTGTCATGTTTTTACACTGTGCAGATGGCGTTGCATCTATCCTTATGGGCTACTTCCCCTGTTGCATCTTCCCAGTTTCTAATTAAGATTCTGCATACATTGCAAAGAAACGGCTTCCTAAACAGTGTGCAATCTACCATGGCATTTCTTTCTCAAAATGGCAGGAGAGATGTCCCACCATGATATTCTGGATGCAGTTGCCAACGGAATAAGTGTTATTCTGTGTGAACACAGTAACACTGAGAGAGGCTTTTTGTCAGAGCTGGGTGACATGCTAACTGTTCAGCTACAGAACAAAATCAACGTAATTGTGTCTGAGAAGGACAGAGATCCCCTCCAGGTGGCATAAAAGGAAAAGAACAAAAAAAAGGGTGAGAGAACACAATCAAGAGTTTCATACTATCTTGCACAGACCTATCCAAATGTAAGCTCAATGAAGATGCTCTGAATTGATTCAGTATAGGATTGTATTTTACGTTCCCCCAAAGTCTGAGATATATATTGTTATGTCAGATACCTAATAAATGCTTGTTTCTAGCTACTCAAATATGATTTACTCAATTAGTGGGTTGCACTTGAATGAAGTTACTGTTACTACATACTCTTATTAAATATATTTGATAACCACACCACTCAAGGGTTGGTTTGGGTAGAATATGAAAATTTGACTTTTCAAGCTTACAGAGCAGTTTAATCCTACTGTGGTTATGTCAGTACAAGTCACTGGCATTTTAGCTAGTAAAGCTCTTGATAATAGTTAATAAAAGGGTATGGATCACTAGTTTGCATTAACAGTTTTAAGACAGCTCATATGCAGATACAGAGCAGAATTCAGGTATTTGGTACTTGCATTAATGGTAGATTTTGCAATTGAATGCTGCTTTAAAGGTCTTTAACAGAGGAACCCTCAATTAAAAAAACTTTAGAAGTTTTTTAATAAGCTATTAACTCCCTTATTAATGTTGTAATTAATTTAATGTACCTGTTACTTTTTTATAAAAACAGCTTCTATACATATGGCTCTTAATTACAGGATTACTAAAAGTGAACAAGTAGTATTTCCACCATCAGTAACCTCTGGGGAATTTGTATTTTTTAAAATGAAAAATCTACCATTTGAATATCTTACCAACTCTGGATTATGTGCATACTAGCAGAATATTTAAACTGAAAATACTGCCATCCCAAGTTTGTAAAGATCTCTTTACAAACTACATCTTTTTAAGTTGAAAAAATAAAATTGGCTTATTTGGCAATGTTTTTACTGTGCTGTACACAGCAACTCTATGCATTGGAGTCCTGTACAACCATAGGGCTTTGAAAGACCACACAAAGACTAAAATCATGGAAGAAATCTGGGAAATATTTCCCTGTAACTTAGACATCTCCCTCTTTCAGCTAAGAAGGTAACTGAGGACTATGCTCTTCCTTAGTAGAGCACTACTAGAAGTGCCCAAGAGAAATGTCAAGAAGCTGCTCTGTTATTCAGATTTTCCCAGTGGTCCTAGACAGTGGCGCCAGAACACTGATGTGATGTTGTGATCAGAGGCTTTCTGCCACATTATGTATTTTAATACAACGTAACAGCACCATTAAAGCATTTTAAGCCCCCTCTGTTAGATCTTATTTTGTGTTCTTGCTCAATGAAACAACTTCAAAACATGAAATAGCCAGCCTACTTCACCTAAAGAATATGTTACTTGTTCAGTCTTCTAAGGTATATAAAAAAAACAGTCATTCTTATCAATACCATGAAGACCTTTGAGTAAGCTGAGAGTCGAAGTGGAAAGAAATTCCTTCTTCCCCAAATAAAGGAGGGAACTGTACAACTGATCCCTCCAAATACAATAGTCCAGAATTGCTGCAGAAGACAAAAATGCCACCAGATCTATACCGAAGAGCCAGTATCCTTAGTATATGCACTGAATGCAAGAGGGAGAAAATCAATGCATAGGTGGAATAGTCATCCAGACAGTCTGAAATCAGGCTGAAATACTTTAACAAGAAAAACACAGGAATTAATTCACAGTAATTTTCTTTAGCTTTCATGCTTGCATCACAGTATCAGCCAAGAATTGATTCAAAGGTAGCCTCTTATAAGATATGTGGTGGTATTTCCTGCACTTGTTTTTGACTTGTATGGGCATCACTTGCATGATACTCCACCAAAACCGTTAACTAATAAATCAGAGCACTTGTTCATGAGCTCTGAAGCTAACTTACAGAGCTTGGGTAAGACACAACGCCTTGATCACAGTTTTAGTGGTTCTGATGGTAGCCTAAGCAGCAGCAGGCAGGATCTGATGTGTTTTGCTAAGTTTGGAATTGCAGCCTGTAAAACACAGGTGCACATAATACCAAAAGAGGATGTTAGTTGGAAAATGTTCTGTGGAAGGAAGGTGGAGAGTACTGCTAGCATGTACCAGTTTTCCCCCATCAGACTCTCCAGCAAAGTTAAATAGTTCCTACACTGAAGAATCTAATTGACAGTAGGATAAGTAGATATCCTGTGTTTTCCTATACAAACCAAACTCAGAATGTAAACCTCTGTCCTGTGGCTTCTGTCATGTGGCTTCTGTCAGTGAGGGATATACCAGGTAACACCTGGAACACAAGTAACAGTATTATTCCATGTGATGCTTTGGTTCTTTTCTAATGCTATATACCGGCATTAAAAAGCAGGCAAACTGTTGTAATTTTGATACCTTAAAAGACCATAAAATACTTTTGCTAATTAGTTTGAGGTCTTCTGCATGCTGCATGAGGATCTGCACAGATATTTGACATGATAATGAAAACCAGGCTTTCGCATAACTGCCAGAAAAATCTCTATCTTCCTATAACATAAAAACATTTGTGGAAGACGAGACAAACTAATGAAAAATAATAAAGTACTTTATTTGGTTGATATGTACTATTACAACATTGAGCTGTAACACAGCTACCAAGTATTAGACATAATGAGTCCCTGAAGTCTGGCTGGCAGACTACAGTTGAAGAAACTATAGGGCTTACTCCCACATACCTGAGAAACACAATGAAGAAAAGCTGCAAAACTTCAGCATTCTCCCAACCTCTAAGGGCTACTAAGATGGAGAGCTTGTAAGTGGCATTTAAGGCCTCCTCTAGGATCAATGGACACTCCTGGTGTAAAAAATACATATATACAATCAAGCTTTTTAAAAATAAACAAGCTTCACAGCCTCTTCACATTCCTGGATTGCAAGTTGGAAAGCAGATGAAAGAAGCTGGATTTTCTCAACCTCACCAAGAGGCAACGGCTTGAGTCCATCGCAGTTTTGATCACCTAAATCCACTTATAAAAGAATTCTAGCTTGGGAAAATCCTTCAGTTCTATTGCCAGAATTTAATAAGTTACCCACAGTAACCATGTCCTGCTCATATTCTCTTCCTTGTGCAGTCAAGGCAGGTCTCTTAGCATTATAAATCTTTACTTCTTTATACACTGGAAGCCGGTCTTGTCTAATTGGTAAAGGAGTACCAGAAAGCACTCAGTTGAGAAAAATTGCATCACAAATACAAACTAAAGCTCTGACCATCTGGTGGTTTGCACTTCCCACGTGAACTCCTCCAACCAAACCCTCATGTCTAGTGAGGTAATGAGCAGAAGGCACAGAGTTAGTTTTCCTAACTGTATGGTTGCCTGCACAGACACAAAGGTATCATCTGAGCTAAGAGACAAAGCAGACAAATCTAACTTCAGAGCAAGAAATACCTTGCTTACAGAAGTCGTCATTCCAAACTACCTGAAGTAGCTGAACAAGAAGCACTGTTCATTACAATTATTACATTTCAGTAAGTAGTCCAGCAGTTTTGGGGTTGGAAAGAGAGATCTGAGTATAGGCCCCTCTCCAGCAGCCCTTGAGAGCAATTGCCGTAGATGTTTTGGGAACAGACAGACGTTATACATCTTCATCCTCTTTCTCTAAGAAGTCGGTCAAGGTACTGTCATCTACAGGAATTAATAAGTACTCCACACCATCAGCTCCCTGAGAACAGACATGCAACACACATTCTGTTAGCACCAGTGCACAGTGCAATGCAAGCCACTAGATAGCACTGCTATGCTGATATGTACTTGCAGCTGGGGTGAGAGCTGGCCAGCATTCACAACAACTACATTTCTAAAACCAGGAATATTTCCCTAGAGCAACACTGGAAATGTACAAACATCGAGAAAACTCAAAGCTTCTGGTGGGCTGTGCTGTTCTGTCACTACATAGCTCCTCAACCTTTGCTCCCACATGTAGCACTGCTATACTGCCTCATTATTAGGGCTAGCCTGTACTCTTCAAACATGCAAATATAGGTAACTGTGAAGCAAACTGGCAGCCTCCAGAATCCATCACTTCTCAAGGTCTTCAGGAAGTTGAGTTCCACAAAGACCTGTAGGTTGCAGAGTAACCAAACCACAACACATTTTTACAGCCCCCTATCTACATGAAGGGTGTTCACAGAATGGAGACATGGAAAGAGCTGCAATTACACAATTTTAGCCTTTGCTAGTCCCCAGGTACTTCAAACAATACAGCCTCACTGTGAGCTGCAGACTTGTGTCTTAGGAATACTTCCAAGGAAGCAAGCAGTGTTTTGTTTAAGATAGCAGAATTCCCAGAATTATCTTCTTCCCCCAACTCACCCGTTTGGTCCGGATGAGCTTGTGGTCCCTGAATTCTGTCAACTGGGCCCTGAGTGTCAGGTCACTGTTTACAAGGAAAGCCTCCCGACACTGCTGGTAGAAGTCTTGGAAAGAGAGGCCTGGAAATAGAAAAGGGTAAGAATGAGAAACTGAAGTGGTAAGTTTGTCCCATGTTTCCAGGTCTAACGATACATGTTATCTCCACCTACAAACATTGCTTTGGCTTACACCACAATGGCTACAGCACCATCATCACTTTAAGTACACAACAAAGCTAATATTTCAGTAATCAACAGAAAAATTTGATTTAACATTCCAGTCACCCTGTCTGCCTAACAGAATTTTAACAGTACCTTAAATGCACTTTTCAGCATGGTGTACCTTTGAGTTTCAAACCCTACTATCTTACTTCTGTCTTTCTGAACAATTAACATACTGCTCATATCCTCTGCAGCATCTGTTAGAGATAGTGACAGCATATTCCACATATATCCTAGAAAGCAGGTACACATTAGAGGCCATCCAGGAGCAGCATAGGAACCGAATATTCTCTTTTCCCCTAGTTTAATAGGTATTAGTATTGTGCAAATTCATTTTTTTCCTTGATTTTTTTTTTTAACTCCAGTCTTCCCTGATCCTTTCCTGTCTCAAATAATGTCTAAACTTGAAAAGTAGACAACAGTAAAAGGAGATCCTTAGGATCCAGCCACTCTATTGATTTCCTCTTAGAGTAAGATTCAGCACCACTAGAAAGATAGTCTATGCCACTAAGACTCACAGAACCAACAGTTACAGCTCTTCTGTTGTTGATAATGTAACCTGCATATCCAAAGCCAGTGCCACTGTGACTGAGCTTGCAACACCACCGCTCCACTCCAAACAAACAAATGAGGAAATAGTCTGTATGTACCTGGGTAAGATGGGTTGTCCTTGTTCTCCAGCTGGTACTGGGCAAGCAGTCTGAATATCCCCCTAAGTGAAAGGAGATGGGGAAGAAAATAGGAAAAAAAAAAAAAAAAAAGCAAATATTTTATTTCCCTCATGACCAGGACTTGGTGCATGCATCTAGTCACTTAGTCACTGGGTAAAGCTTGCTATCTAAACTGTTAATTTAAAGTAAACGATCACATGGAAACCAGGTCCCATCATTTTAATCTTGAAATATGCTGTCAGAAAACTGGGTTGCCTCCTGCTAGGTGTATACATGTATGTAACAGCTAACACAGAAAACCAGAGTAACCTACTACAGACTGGATCCTCAGTAGGTGCTGTTGTGAAGTGTAACAGTGCCTTACCTGGCATTCAGTGTGAGACTGCGCAGGACATGCGTTAGGGAACTCAAAGCCAAAGATCCCGATTGCTGTACTAACAGTGAATTTTCATAAGATGTTTCTTCCATGTAAGGACTAAACGTGGTTGTCTCATACCAAAGCCAATTGTAAAGGCTTTGCTTTGCTTGATCCCACACTAGACAGAGAGGAAAGAAAAAGCAGACAGAATTAGCAGGTTTAGCTTTTCTCAGGCATTAAATAAGCAATATTAAAATGTACTGAGATCTACTACAATATTTGAGAAAATAATGCATGCTTATGAAATTTGTAGTACATGCACCCAGATAGTCACAGTTCAGGCAAGACAATTCTCTGCAACAGAACATTTGCATACATTCCCTTTTCATACCAGCTTCATGGATATGCTGTAAATCATTCCAGAATCAGCATTGTGCAAAGAATTTCTGGCTGATAAAATTGTTTAGATGCAGTGACAGCCATAACATTCAATCTCCATTTCAGTAAGTCCCTAAGTCAAAGGGTGCCAGAAGCCTGGAGTCTTTTTCTTATACACATACATATATAGACTGGTAGTTTTCAGTATCTTTATACAGCTTTGCTTCAACAAGGCCACAGTCCCAATCAGGGCTTCTAGCTGCTACAACCATACATACATCACCAGGTCAATTTTGCACATCAAGAGTAATACATGAGCATATGAAAAACACTCAGCAGCCCCTAAGTAGAATACAGATTCTTCTCTTTTTGCTACATCAGGCCCAAGGGGACTCACTGAGAGGAGCATTGATGTGATCAATAGAGGCAATGAGGTAAACACTAGGCAGAGAGGACAGCTGTGCAAGGATCTGCTGGCTTCTTTCTCCTCTCAACATCTGGCTGTCCAGGTTATGAATAAGGACATAGAGCTCCAAAGATGAATCTGTAAGGTCACAAAAAAAAAAAAGCAGAGAACCAGTCAAAGAAACTGCACACAAAGTGGTTTCCCATTCCCAGTGCAGCCTAGGACAAATATGTTCCACCACACTTCACATTCACCACTCCATTATCAAATAACTTTCCTTGTACAGCTTACATTGATCGCTGTCCCACACTTGGTGTTTCTGAGCAGCTGAGAGGCTTTCTCTCAATTCACTGTATTGCAGTTCTCATCACAGCTACTATTCTTTCTGAATCTAAAGTTTTTAATCTTAAAAAACTTTCTACTTGCTCACTGCCCTTCCAGGAGTCACCTATGGTTTTCAGTGATTCATTATTTTTTTCAGTTTTGAGTGATACCTGTGATTCAGGGTTGTTCAAACATGCGTTAGGAGGGAAGTCTAAGCACAGTTTGTTCAGCTGCTTTTAAGTTGTATGACTAGGATCCTTAAGCCCTTCTTCAAACAATGAAAACACATCTTCTATTCAGGATTGGATACAAAGCCTACTGAATTCATTAGAATTCTTTCCCACTGAGCCCTCAAAGAAAGTTACAAAGACTGAGCTTGGATAATACAAACAGTAGATTCCCAACTTAGCTTGTTGCTGCTGTAGTCATCCCTAAGGAACAACTGTTTCCTGAGTCCCGAAATAATTATGGAAGAGTAGCTAGTTTTTGTGCAAATGAATACATACTTGGCTGTCACTGGAAACCAGAAGTTCCTCAGACTCCCTGTCAGATCAGCTATAGTGTAGTACATGAAACCGATTTATGTAGCATCAAAAGGGTACTACCATTAATCAGTCTTTTTCGCTCAGTCCCACCAAAAACACTAAGATAGGGATGGAGAAAACATTTAAACACCACCAAATCCCTGTACAATTAAGATTACATGGCAATTTTCCATGTAGACATAAGCAATACAACCTAAAACCAAAGAATTATCAAGAATTATCAAGCACTCAGTGTGGCAGTGCCCTTTACCTTGGCTTTTTGAAACAATTTTAACCTGCTTGTTTGATGTTGCTGTCCTTTATTTCATCTTAACATCCATACATGCATATATTAAGCTTACATGACGAATGCACTAAACCATGTACATTTAAGCGTTAATCCAGCCTATAATGAAATTTATGGAAAGGCACGCCCCCCAGGGGATTATTTTTCCAAAGGGCTCATGGGACTTGGTATCCATCAGCGGCTGTCATTCCAACTCTTTGTTCTGTTCATCTCAGCAAGGTTTGTATCAGGTCCTCAAGCAGCCACTCAGAACCATGTTCCCGCATATAACTGGAATTTACCCATCCTGTCTTCCACCAGGGAACGCGTGGCTACAGAAACACTGTATGAGTAGAGCGCAAAGGCATCATACTAAATGCAAGAAACACAAGCATTTCAGCTTGCTGAAGGGCTGAGTAGCCTCTGACTTGCCAGAATGCTCACGTCCTCCTCCTCCTTTTTCCACAGAACTTAGTGTGTTAAACACTGAGAAAGATAAGAGATTGGGATCATGTGCACATGATTCTGGTGCACGTTTTCAGAAGTAGCATAAACTTCAAGACTAGAAAACACTAGCTACAGTAGACTAGAACTGTAATAGCATATATGAAAACTGTGAGCATGGAAAGGCACCCCTAACAGTAAGCAAACTCTACTGTTTTTATGTACAAAAATCAGTCATTTTACCTTCTTTAAACCTTTTAATGATGAATTCAAGTTGGTCAAGGGGGCTGCGAAAGGTCCCTATATGGTCCAGTACCTCCTCTGTGATGGAAGTGAGAATCTGAAACAGAAAATAGCAGAGTCACCACTGCCCCTTCTGAAGGGCTCTGGCACTGAAGAACCTGGTGCAGAATATCTGAAAATTAGCCCTTTACTGTCATGATAGGGATACTCTGATTTTTACCATAAAATTCCCCAGTCAATGTAAGCCTAAAATTGCTACTCTTTTTTCAAAACAGTGACATTAAATAATATTTCAGACAGATGAATATATTACTGATGAGAATCACAGCAATTCCTTCAAAAATGCATGGGCTCATTTCTTTAAAATCTTAAAAAAGAGGAACTGCTCTTCATTCAAGAGTCTATTGCTATAAAATGCAAGCAGCTCTCCTTAACGTTTTACATTGAAAGATTTTAAAGGTGTCTGTAATGCAGGATGATTAGTTAAACATACGAGCTTTTTCTCACACTTACAGATCTCACAGTGATGCTAGGGAAGTATCCGTTAACTACAAGGTGAACGGTGTCCTGGAGCATAGAGATGCGAAACTTCTCTAACAAATTATGCTTTGAGCCCAGTCCATAAAGCACAATGTTGAAACCCAAGCTGCAGGGAAGTGAGTAAATAGACTGAATCAAAAAAAAAAAAAGTAAAAGTCCATTTTTAGGTTTATACATTCACATTGTCATTAAGCAAAATGATTGACTGCAATCTTGCCTCTATAATTCTCACATTTTTAAGGAATTCGTCAACTCCAGGCTTACCTTCAGCTCACAGTTGACACATAAGGTTATCTGCAAGATATCCAAAATGCAGCATGTTCATCCTAGTTAAAGGAGTGTTTTAGCAGACTAGAGGACCACAGATTTAGCAAAACATCTATGGAAGAAAATGGTACTGTCCAAGAGTATGAGACTAGAACTGCATCTTCAAACTAATGACAACTAACAAACATTCACATTTACTCCCTCACCATATGATTATATTAAATGTTTACTAGGGGTCAGTCACTACAAGGAAAAAAAAAAAAAAAGCCTGCAAGGTGATTTTCTACTATTATCCACAGGCACAGTTTTACTGCAAAATCTGTTTATTCTCATATCCCTTCCTTATCCTGATTGTTACATAGAAAAAGCATAAAAAGAACATGTTAGGAATTCACAAATCTTTACTTGGTTTTGAGGAGCAGGAAAAACATCATATTCACTAGAACTAAGTGTCAGGTTGCTCAAAAAGCACTGGACAAAGGTAAGGTGTTGAACAACTGTCACTGATTTCAATATTGTGTATGGATTTGTTCCTTTTAACCAGCCACATACAACTCTAAGCATTTTTCCAGGTCACTGAGTCACAGAGAACTCCTCCTCCAGCAAGTCTCCAACTTTCAAGGCTTTTCATTTGCTCTGTCACTTCCCGTTGAACACGAATTCTCTTATAATCCACTCCCTTGCAAAGGGCTTTCTCCTCATGAGCATCTGCTCCTGCCTCAGTGCTTCATTTCAGAGTTGGTGGCTTGTCTTCTCTAAAGCACTTCAGAGTCTCACAGTTCTCTGTACTTCCCCATTTAATTTCTTGCTTACTCTTTTCTCCTTTCCTCCAAGATACATGCAAACCCAGATAAAATTAATGCTAACCTTTTCAACAGCATTAAGGTTTCTTCTTACCTAGACCATTAGGTACTATAGAAACTCAGAGTTTACTGCTACACCACTGAGGATAGCCACATACTGAAGAAACTGACAGTGGGCTACTCAGTACCAACTATACTGTTGAAAGCATAATCAGCTGTTCAGAAATGCCACATTTCTCATCTTTCATGTTCCTTATTTGTAAATGCCCTCTATCTTGGTTTAGAGGAACAAACTAGTGAGATAGAATGTAACTTCATCTCATCAAAATGATGAAATCTGCATCAGAAGAAGCATGGCCAGCAGGTTGAGGGAGGTGATTCTCCTCCTCTACTCTCATAAGACTGAACCTGGAGGGCTGTGTTCAGCTCTGGGGCCTCCAGAAAAGAAAGACATGGACCTGTTGCAGTGAGTCCACAGGAGGGTCATGAGGATGATCAAAGGGCTGGAGCACCTCTCCTGTTTATGAAGACAGAGAGACCATAGAGAAAAGAATGCACTGGGGACACCTTATAGTGGCCTTCCAGTACTTAAAGGGGACCTACAAGAAAGATGGAGAAGAGACTCTTGTCCTGATTTCAGTTAGGACAGAGTTAATTTTCTTCCTAGTAGCTGGTAGAATGCTATGTTTTGGCTTAGGATGATAAGAGTGCTGATAACACCCCGATGTTTTAATTGTTTTAGAGCAGTGCTTACACCAAGCCAAGGACGTCTCAGCTTCTTGCTCTGTCCTGCCAACGAGCAAGCTGGGGGTGCAGCAGGAGCTGGGAGGGGACAGACCCAGGACAGCTGACCCAAACTAGCCAAAGGGGAATTCCATACCATCTGGGGTCATGCTAAACAATATATAGGGGTGGCTAGCCGGGGGAGGAGGGCCGGACTGCTCGGGGTTAGGCTGGGCATCGGTCAGCGGGTGGTGAGCAACTGCATTGTGCATCACTTGTTTGTGTACATTATTATTAGTAGTACTATAATCATCATTATTGTTATTATTATTTTCCTGTCTTAATAAACTGTCTTTATCTCAACTCACGGGCTTCACTTTTCCATGTCTCTCCCCCATCCCAGAGAGGGAGGGAGGAGGGTGAGCGAATGGCTGTGTGGTGTTTAGCTGCCGGCCGGGTTAAACCACAACAACTCTTCATCAGGGAGAACAGCACTAGTACAAGGGTAATGGTTTTAAACTAAAAGAGGGTACATTTAAATTAGACATTAGGAAGAAATACTATGAGGGTGGGGAGGCACTGAAACAGAGAAGCTGTGGATCTCCCATCCCTGAAAGCATGGGAGACCAGGCTGGATGGGGCTTGAACAAGCGGGTCTAGCAGGAGGTGTCCCTGTACGTGGCAGGGGGGTTAGAACCAGAAGATCTTTAAAGTCCCTTCCAACTCAAACCATTCTGTGATTCACTTCAGTTCAAGAAGTTAGTCAGATATGATTTGGTCTTCAAAAAATTTTGTGCAAAATAGTGTCACCTGATTTTAAATTAGAGCAATCAAAGCAAAAAAAAAATCCTTATCTCATCCCCAGGATGTTATTGATATGAGGGTAAGTTTATGGCAATGCCTATTTGCTAGGTCTCCTCAGCGGTTCTCACTGGATACTTACTGTAATTGCAACATCCACTTGGAAAACAGGGACTCATATTGCTGGTTTAGCTCTTCAATTTCAGCAGCATAGGCAAGGGGAGACTTTTCCAGAAGGTCATGCAGTGTTTGCTGCATTGAGAAAGAGGTAAGATGACAGTAATACAAAGCTGAGAAAAATAGGACATATGCCTGGAGTCCTTACAAATGCCCCTCTAGTACATGTATGTTTTCTAGCTAGAGGTTAGAAGGGTTTTCACCAATGGTGCACTCAACTCATGTTTCTCCATGTACACCCCCTTCGAGGATTCTAAAAACAGCTTTGCTACTGGAGAAACAAAGCAGAGAGTAAATGACCTTAGTATGGGAAATGGCAGCCAGACAAGAACTAGCCAGACTAGAACTGACATCTGTGCCACTACTGCACCATGTTTATCTCCTCCTGCTGAGTATGGGAACACCACTATGGAAATAACGGACATGCTTAGAACTTAAAACAGCATCAAGCATGGTACTAGGAAGATACCAACACCATAACTAAGTTCACAGGAGCAAGGACCCCAATCAACATGTTAGCAATGACTCATGTTTGTGTTTGTAACAGAATGCTCATAAACATAATCACAGAAAAGCAAAATACAAAACAAATACAGCAAAGGAAGAAAACCATAACTGTAGAGAAAGTGTTATTTCAAAATATCAAGAATCTAAGGATTAATTCAGCTGTAAAGATGCACTGGGATGTTGGTGTTTAAACAGCACAGTAGCATGACATGTGACGTCAGATCTACAATAGCCTCCCTTTCTATTCAATTTTACTAGCTTTGCTTTTCACTCCCCTGCAATAGAAGACAACCTACTCTGGAAAGAGCAAAAAGGCAGCCGCAGTATACCAGACAAACATAAAGCACTGAGAGACAGAACTGCTAAACCTTCACCTTCTTTGGTGCCAGCAGAGATTTAATACTGAAAGCCTTGATTTTAGTCTAAAGCTGTTATGAAAGAACTTGTTAAAAATCCAGATGTTTCTCTGGGTAGCAATTCTAGACAACACTAGGCATCAGGCAATTTGCATATATGCCATCTTTTAAAACCCAGATGGGTGCATGGAGACAGAAGAGCAATTTGCATGTTTTACATGCTTCCCTGGTTCCTGTCTGTGCATACGAGTCTCTCTAAGATACAATTGCTTACATCAAACTGGCTGTAGAAGTGGCATATGGAAAAAAATGTAGGTGACAACATTTAAAGCTGTCCCAATCCTGTACAGGGTTCAACCCAGTAATGCACAGATAAAAAGGGCTCTCTCCATCTCTTCTACACATAATCAAGATCACTTATAAATCCCCACAGCATTTCATTGACAAAACATTCGTTTGATGATAATTTTTAGTGTAGGTCCCTACAACTCTGCTTTTCCCTCTTCTCCTCCCCCCAAATCAAATATTAACCTGTTCTCATAACTGCAGCATTCAACTTTCTCCCTGCATTTTCCCTGCTGTCTCAGGTCCCAACAACTGGGTAATAGCCCACTGTCACTGTCCCTGCTCAGAGCAGGAAGGCATAAGGGAGACACAATGCTTGAAACGCTACCTAACCCCTGCATAAATCAGTATTACCACCAAGAACATCATCAGCAGAGATAAAGTGAAAATAGCAACATCAATCAATTTTGATGGGAGAGATCTTTACCCAATAAATCAAAAGCTCTGTGAGTTGTGCAATTCACTCTGAAGCATACCTGATTCAATCTTCTCTTCCGTAACTTCTGCAGTGTTCGATCTGAAGTGAGCACTTTGGAAGTACTGTGAGCTTCAAAGTATTCCTCCACCAGGTTGCTCTAAGAATGTACAGCAAGAATCAGCCACACCTCTGCTAACAAGTTACCCCTCTCCCTTTGTACCCCCAAACACGTCTGAAGATGGTCAGCGTGAGACACAGAGCAAGGATGAACAGAAATCCAGAAGACATTTGTAAACACGGTTTCTACAGCAGCATTCTGCCAAAGCTAAGCATTCAAATGGTTCTTTACCAGAGATAAAAAGAGAGAAGATATTCAGAGGGAGCAGAACACAGCAATAATATGGGGGGGGATCCCTGGTGCTGGAGGGAAATAAGATGACAAAGCTGAATACTAAGCCAGAAAGTAAAGTGTGATACTTTTGGTGCTACAGGAGTCAATTTCTTCATCATTTCTTAAGTCTCCTGTTTCACAGACATCTTAGAACATCTCATTCTGTAGCTGCTGAGAATACAGACTGGATTAGCCCATAGGCTCACATGATGCCCATCTAACAGGGATGGAAATCATTTGCTCAGAAATGCAGCAAAAGCCAACCCAGCTGGTTTAATTTGAAATAAATCTAGCAGTTCTTCCCTAGGTGCAGTCACTGACAGCCTATTGTTAATAAACATCCCTTCACTCTTGCTGGCTCAGGGGTACATTTTCTGCACACTCACCATCTTGTCCTTTTTTTTGGTTACTTTTTTTCTGGAAGGAGGTGTAGATGCAACCTTAGCTTTTGCTGGTGTCTTTAGACTTGATAAAACAGTGCTGACTTCTTTCTGGCTTTCTTCATCGTCCTCCTCCTCTGAGCAGGAAGCAGAATATTCACTTTCACTTTCTAAGCAAGCATCTGGAGCTGAAGGATAAATGTAAGGTTAAAAGTTACCAATTAATTCTTACACAGAACACATTTTGCACCATTTATCTCTCACATACATTCTCTAGGTGTTTTTCAAGCATATGATTCCTAAATGTTTTTCATAGAAAAGTAACATCAATGCTTACAAGGACTACAAACACACAGACATTTCATTCCGTTTTCAATGCAGATATTGTTTAGTAAAGCTCTACAAAGAAATATAATTCTACCCTAAAAACTGAATAAAAGTAGATAATGTATTTCCCCATTTTTCTTAGGGCCTCCATATCAGTTTTCCCAAATGCCAACCATGCAAGCTGGGTATCTTCTGGTTCACACCCTGTAAGAAAGGTGTTGATTCAACAAGGTGTTCGATTCAACAATGTTGATCGAAGAAAACAGAATCTGTCTGTCATGGTCTTTCAAGACAAGAATAAAATGAACACAAAATGTCACACACTGAGCTCTCCTCTGCACTCATTCTGAGCGCATATAGCCAGCCAGTTATTAAAAATAATTTGCCACAAATGTCCCAGCCATCAACAAAAAGTTTTATGTTCAAGCAATTATACCAAACTGAAGTGTCAGCACAGGTAAGATTACTCAAAACTTCCTCTTCTGATCATGTCTCTGAAACTCAGCAACTAGGTGCTTTTAAATCCTCCACCCCATTCCTACGTAGCAAACTTCTGTATGGAAAAGGTCTGCATGGGCTTCCCTGGGGATGTTTCTATACACTATACAGGATGAATCAGGCTGTTTCAATCAGTCCACTGCTACAGGCAGAAGACCATAAGCAGGTGAAGCACTCTCCTCTGAACACAGGGCTTTGCTGACCATAGGTGCTGACTACAGAAGTTTATTTTTACCTGCTAGCCTTTTGCGGAGTCTGTAAGGTGTGGTAGACATAAAATCATTCTTTTTACCTCTGTAACAACAGCAAAAAAGGGCATTAGAAGAAGTCGCATATACCTCCCCAAAAGAGCCCTTTGCTAAGCAAAGCATAGAATCAGGTTTCATTTCCAAGCTGTTGCAGCCCACAAGAAACTGGGAGAGCAGAGGCAGTAAGTCCATAGAGTTCTTACCTTGCCATTCACAGTTAGAGAGAGGTAGGATCAGGATGCAAAAAGGGCTTAATTCTTTCAACTAACGTCCTGAGGTGGAACATAGAAAACTGAAATCTCCAGCCAAGATGCTAACTTTGGCCCCTTCAGAAGAGTCAGACTGAAGAAAGGATGAATTGGAAATGCTTCTGCTCCCCTGAGCAGTCATCTTCCACATCACAATGTCTATGCAGGGTCATTTTGAAGCCCACCATAAAAACTCCCACTCAGAATATTAAACCGAAAAGGAGTACAGGAAATGGAATCTGAGCTGGCCAAGGTCACCAAGTTGTGGTGGCATGTCTTCCTTAGACATGTACAAAGCACACGCCTGACAAAGACACCAGATCAAGTTTGCAATAATCCAGTCAAAGTGGATGTGGTATCATCAAGGAGTGAATATGGCATCCCAAAACAACATCTCTTATGGGCATCTCCCATCTGGGAACCTTACAAAGGAAAAGCTCTGCACACATTTATAGAACAATGCTATGATGTTTTAGAAAAACAGCTGTTTCACAGCACTCTCTCTATAACCACAGCTGACAGGTGTAGACTGTATGTGTATGTAGCATCACAAAAGCAGACATAAACTGTCAAGATATCTCCCCGATATCACAATGTGTGTGTTTGTTTCTTTTTAAAATAAACCAATGATAATTTAAGAAACTGAAGAGCATTACAGTTCTTGAATTCTTGTTCTAACAGCACTGCTATCCTTATGATTAGGGTTGTTCCTTCCTTTAATGAGAAATGGAAAGCTACGAGTTTAACTGCATATTAAGAGATTGTTTAATATCCTCATTTGTGTAATGCACAGAAATAATCTCTACCCATACTAATTAAGTTGTTAAACCCAGTGATCTGCACGCTGACTCTAAATCCCATAGTCTTGATTAATGGTAGTTCTGGTTCTCACTTGCATTAGCAGAAATGGAGACACACCTATAATAATGTGGGTGAGGTTTTTCAAGATCCTTACTTTCCAGAACTATAGTAACTGGCTAGTTCAAGTACTAAAGTGAATTAAAAAAATAAATCATCACTTACCTTCTGCTGAACTTTGTTTGAACTTGAATGTTCTGCAGGACAAGAAACAGCATAACAGAATACTGCATATTTTCAACAGCAGCACAAGATGCTTCATTAGAAAAATAGGCATCCACTATTCAAAGGTACACTGCACCAGAGTATCAGCTCCCTGAGTGGTATGGGGGAAGCTCTTAGTTCCCCACAGGTAAATGATGAGATATCAAAGTCAGTCAATATTATTTTCACAGAAGGCAGCTTTTAATTCTGGTCACAGTTCTGGGAGGCCCTCAGCAGGAGCAGGTTGATAAAAATGTTCCCACCCAAGCACATCAGACTCCATTTCTGAGTACAAAGTAACGTGTTCTTGCCAATCTCGGTCCACACTGACTTCTTGCACCTTTACTTCTCCCTACAGCATTAGGTGCTTGAAAACTAAATCATAAATTGCGAAGTTACATGTGAACACACATGCAATCCCACCCACAACCCATTTGGCACTCAACATACCAGCTCAGCTCAAAACTCAAGTGCAAGCATCTGTGTTGAACACGGAGGAAATCGTTAAGTGTGACAGCAACAGATGAGAGAGAAGTTACTGTTTCATCTGTACCAGCAGGACAGAACATAAGGCACAACAGCCAGGTGAACAAGATGCCATGCAAATTCAGCCTACAAATTTAAACTGCCCAGAATTCTCAAGCATGACAGAATCTGGGGCTCGAGCATCTGCTTTACCACACAAAGATGAACATAACACCTATTCACTCAGCTTCAGTTTCCCAAAGCATCACAGAACTTACTGCTGCTTTGAGGGGTTTTGGTTTTCTTCTCAGGGCACTCAGAGTGATCAGATGCAACACTCTGTCCTGGCGTCTGGGCTAATTCAGAGGCTGTAGGGCATGGAGGGGAAAGAAGTTTCACATGTCAGGTACAAAACTTCTTCTTAGCCCACAGTTAGCCTAGCAAACACAGACATTTACGTAGGAAAAATCCCCTTCCACACCAAAACTAATATTACTATTTTTTTTTTTTATTAAACTCTTTGCTATGCATCAAGTTATTCTCATACATCCTTCTAAGATACACACATAAAATGCCTGCCATCCTTTGGCATGTACATACAAATACTTCTCCCAGCATTAAGAAACTTCTACTTTCTCTTATGCATTTATTCATTATATGTATCTCTTATCCCCACCATGCCTTTGCTTTGCCCTAGTGCTAAACTTTTGTTTCTGAGGAAGACTGATTCAGAGTCAGATAAAAGCCACAGTAATAGTACAAATATATCTTTTTAGTGAACAGAAGAGTCGGATCATGTTCACAGGGGTACTCAAAAAGACCACCAGCCAGGACAAGAAGGAAAGAGGAAAACATACCCAGCTCTGCCATTTTGTTGGAGCGTTTGGGAGTTTGGAATGAGTAAACTTCACTACCACCTACACTTGAGCCATTTTCCATCAAATCTGAAAACAGAAATATTACTTGTAAGCACTTTAAAAGCACTGGTACATTTCCAACCCTAGAGAGGTGGAATACAATACCAATACAATACCATGGTCAATACCACTGCAGGTGTTACAAACACCGTTAAAAAAACATCCTAGAAATCATTATCTTCTCCTCTACTCGTTACCACAAGCATATCTAGAACTAAGAGCCTTCAAGAACAATTTCATAAGCATTGTACAGGTTAACACTAAAAGTATCTCCTGAAGTAATAGCTGTGTTAAGTTTTCCCAGCCAATACCTTGAGCACATATGCCTAGAGCAGCAACATAGTCCTTCTCTTCCAGGAACTCTTGAGCTTCATCATCTGAGAGAGTATCGAGCTTCTTCACAAATCTCTTCACATTGACTGTCAGTGGAGTTTTGTCTTTTCGTACTTTAATACCTAGAATTGTTATAAAAGCTTTTACTTTCTGTGATTTCAATTGCAGTAGTATGCAGCTACCGCCTTAACAGACCAAGACACTGTTGTGCAAAGCACATGTAAAAACAAAGAAGAAAAGATTTCCTGTTAAAAGACGAGATGGTCTGTGCCATGGAGGTCAGCAGACCCTAAAGCAATTAGGGTCACCTTTACCACAAAAGCTAGACATTGAAGTCAGTTGTGAGGACGTGATCCCCATTTCAACATACGCCTGCTTCCACAGATTGGGAGAAATGGCAGGGACACGCACAGCAGCAGTTCCAAATGCCACGTGAAGAAGGTGACATTTAGCATCCCCTCTCTTCCACAGAAAAATGGAGCAAGTCTAGAAGACCAAGCCTGCACACCGCCAGTATGCTCACAGAGGAATTTCGGCTGAGATACCTCTGGACACTGTCTGCCTGACCTTGCTCAAAACACGAGCACCGGCAGCGTTGGCTCGGGGTGCTCCACGCCACGTGCAGGCAAGTTCTGACCATTTTGCAGACTGAGGCTCCGGCCTTCACAAGCAGGTCAGAACTGCAGCCGCAGCCCCCCGTGGCGGCCGCCTCCCGTCCCGTTGAGGCGGTTCTCAGGGCGCGCTGAAGCTCGGCGGGGAGGGCAGCGAGCTGCACGGCGCTGTGGCGGCACCAGGGCTCCCCTCCAGCCGCGGGCGCAAACGGCGGAAGAGGCAGAGGGATGAGAAAGCGGAGGCGGTGGCGGGCCCCGTGCTGCCAAGCAGCCGGCCCAGGCCGCTCGCCCTCCCCGCACCCCCGCCCGCGGCGCGGCGCGGCGCCGGGCCGGCCGTACCTGCGTCGTCGGCGATGTGCCTCAGGACAGCCTCGTCGGGCACGAACTTGACTTCCAGGGCGGCGCCGCCCTTGCGCTCCGCCTGGCTCATGGCGGGCGCCCCGAGGCCACCCCCGGCCGCGGCCGCCCGGGCCTCACCGCCGCCCCCACGAGGGCCGGGGCGCTGCGACCCACGGGCTACCTACCGGCCCTGAGGCGGCGGAGGGGAGGCGGCAGCGCGTTCACGCGCCGCGCGGCCCCGAACCTGCCACCCTCCCCGAGGGCCGCCCCACCGCTCGGGGCCCCGCGCGGCGCTGACTGACGCGCGTCCCCGCCAACCCGCGGCCCCCTCCTCCCCACGCCCGCCTGCCAGCGGCGGGAGAGGGCAGCGGGCGGGACTTCCGCTGCCAGCCACGCGCGCGGGCGCCCGGGGTTGCCGTGGCGACGCGAAGCCGCCACCGGCCCCGCGGCCTTAGCGGCTCCCCCCCGCCCCCCGCCTCAGCTGACGTGCCCAACGCACACCCAAGTTACAAATAAATACGTAAATAAAAGTCAACCGGCACCCTACACAGCTCTGTTCAGAAACAGCACGATATTTATTTAACATCGTTATATATTTATATATATATAATTTTTTTCTGCATTGCAGATTGCGTCGAGTTTTATACATCTCTATTTACAATGATTTAAAATAATTATATTTCATCTCTGGCAGTTATTTACAGAGTCAATAGTAACTACATTTCACATTTCAACAACAGTCAACAGCATTAACCAGTTCAGTAAGACAGGTAAGATAATGGCTTACATGCACCAATAACATGATCTTTGATACGTGCCATCTTCAGGTCTAAGATGGAAGATTTTCCCTGGTCCCAGGTTAAAGAACATCATACCATCCAGCAGAGGTCGTGGTTACTAAAAACCTGTTTGGTTTAGTTCCTCACCAGTACTGCATCCTGAACACCTGGGATTCACACCAACACACAGGGCTACCCTGGTGAAGAGGGGCTCACGCTACCAATCCATGCCCTTTTGTCTAGCCTATTCGTCCACATTAAGTGGGCTACTTGCTGCTTATGCTCCTTCTACTGACAGAGATAAGATCACAAAGTAGTAAGAATCCTCAGAAACCTTAGTTCAGAGAAACAAACCTGGCATGACAGAATAAGTAAGAAAATTATCTTTTAACCCTTGCAGAATGTTTCTTTTTGCTAGTAAAATTGACAGCATATCCTGTGTTCTTACAAGGACAACACAGAGCAAAAAGATTATTTGTAGAATAGAAGAATTACAAATTTAAAAAATGCAGCATGGGGTACCTAGATTTAGTTTTATAGCCAATAAAAGCCACTGTAGTAAATCTAAAATGTATTAAGAGTATCTGATTTAATTATTAAAAATCTTTATTAGCTTTTTCCTGGAATCATTGATATGGAAAAAAAAGTTAGATGACTCAATTCTTTTTAATCATGTGGTATTTCTTCATAAATAACCAGCTAGTAACATCCATCCCAGAAGTATGCACCTTCTGCAAGTAAACAGTAAAAAAAAAAAAAGTCGTTTCAAAGTAATCGTTGAACACTGGCACACAAAAAACACAGAGACGCACCCCAGCACTAGCGATCTATTAATACTTTGAGAAGTAGTTTATCTTGAGTGATTGCTAACACATCTACTGTATACCTCATAAAGTTTCTAATATTTGTTTTTTTCATAAACTAACAGCATGAAAGTTCTAGCACAATAGGAACCATTTAAACAGAAAGAACAGTGTCAACAGCCAGTATTTCTGTCATTCCTAAGTCCTACTTATTTTTAGAACAATTTTTCTTTGAAAAGGTTGCTTCAACCACACTAATTCGTCTGTTTTGCGATCAGTTCTGGGAAGGACGAGGACTCAAACACACAGGACAGGATCCACTACCAACCTAAAAGAAAGGTTCATTCCATAACAAAGCACTACATGGTCACTTTACTAGAAAGTAATCACAAACAAGTCAGAAATCTTCCCTGATCACTTTTCTAAAATAAATAAATAATAATAATACAAAACCTCTGTGAAATCTATACCACAATTTAACGGGTAATTAATCATCTTTTCAGGAGTCAAAATTTGAAGTAAATTAATTATCAAAATGCAAAGACACTCTGCTCTAAATTGCTTACATGTTACTGACTATAAAACACTGGGCACTCACAAACAAGTAGTTGTTTAATACAACTTGATTTAATCACTTTGCCCATCATGCACAAGCTAAAACGTAGGCTAAGGTTTTACTGTACATGTGTTGTCACTAGCAGCTCCTGACAGGAATAGCTTAGTAATCCTTTATGATAGAACAGATAATTTATGGACCCATTTTTGAATTCATTTGGTCCCTCAAATGTTAGGTTTTGTAAAATCTGATGACCACAGTAAAAATAATAATAATAATCATCATGTGTTTTTGTACCCTAAAGAAAATAAATGAAATAACAAAAGCAGAAATTATTGTATTTTTCTACATTAAATCTCCAATAAAGTCATATAACATGGGACAGATTTTTACTAAACCCATTCCTGGCAGCTGTGTGGTACCTTAGACTTCTATAGCTTGCTTCTGAACTTCTAACATATTAGATGACAGCAGGCCTTGACACTTCCCAAACTTAAGAGAAAAGTTTACCTGAAATGGCTACCTGCTATGTTTTGAAAGCTTGTTCCAAGACTTATTTTAAAATAAAATGTTATAACAACTAAGTGGAAATCATCATACATATCAGTCTTGCAAAGCCCATTTACTACTTTCTTTCATAAACTATTAATGAACCAAGTTGCTCACAGCTCTCCACTGTTTTCCATCACTGTATAAGGGACAGGTGAGTATTTTAGCTCTTCAGCTGCAAATTTGACAGACTGATGTATGCATTCATTAACACAACACTCATGCTGGTATCTGTTCCTCTAAATCATCTACAAAAAAGCTTTCCATAGTTAAATTTACTCAACTGACAGTGGGACAACAAATTAATATTAGTTCAAAAAAGTTAGAGAAATTTCTCTTAATTTAATAAAAAAAAAAAAGAGAAATTAAGGCGCACATACTAGAAATAAACAGCATTTAAAATACTGGAAAAAATATAAAATGTTGAACATTTTGATATCAAACAAGAACAAAATACAAGTTCATTCAGATCAGCCCTCTGCTTACGATGCTTGGAAAGGAATAAAGTTTTGTAACTTCGTCATCCTAAACAAGACATTAAAAAAAAAAAAGCCATGTTTACCATTCCAACACAAACTATTCCAATGATGTTACAATGAGATGTAGCTAATGGTTTTAAGTGCTACATTAAGCATGCCAAGGTAGCAATATTTTTGGCAATGACAGAATTGCAGAATTTAAGGATGAGACTATCAGATTTACAAACATCAGAAACATCTTTTGGTTCACTATGCAGCACACCCGTTCTATTCAAGCATGTTCAATTATGGTTTTCCACACCTCCTCCACGATTATGAGTATAGTATCAAGTTTGTAGTGCTTGATTTTTAGAATTCTATTCAAGAAGTTATACTTGGTTCCTACTTGCTCTTAAAGTTAATTTAAATTTGTAAACCAAGCCAAACAAAAATTTCTGCTTTGTGAGCAAAAATAAAACACCCAAACACTTAAAGAGATGGTTATTAGTTCATGATAAAATAGCAAAAGTTTAAACTCTTCGGTTAAAATACAGTCATGGCATAAAATAGTCTACTCCAAAACTAATTTCTGAATATGTTATACATTAAATGTTTAGGAAAAGCTCCCTGGAGCTATAGTTTTCCAGGAACACTAATAATGTTCATTAAAGAAGTAAAACAAACCACATACTATCTGGAGACAGAAAGGGGCAAGAGTTGGGGCCACCTTACTACTGAGCAGCTTTACCACCATTAAGGTGCAGGTTTCCCCCTTAATCTGGAAAAATATGTTCATATTTACATACAATATAGACACAGTTGAGGCAATTGATTGTCAATACGTGACAGATGTATGTACCTACCCACGCACAAGTAAACCTCACATGGTGAGAAAAAAAACAGTCCCTGTAAACTCCAGTATTCATAAGTAGTGCAAATAAATACATTGTCAGAAAACATTTTTTTTTCCTCACTCTTTTGCTGTCAAAACATGAATTTAATTATGTTAAAGCTAGCAGGAGTACGTTGGAAATTTTAGATTTAAGTAATTGAGACCAACACACTTGCAAGCTACAAGTACTACATCTAATGCTTACTGGCTGCAACAACGTTCAGCATTACAGAATGAAGCAGGCTGTTAAAATTTTTCTCAAATTCACATCAGAAAGGGTGTTCAAAGAAATTTGCACTTAAAACAGACAGTCACATAAAAAGTCTCCAAATCAAAAGAACAAGAAAGCCATTTAAAACTTCATCTTGCAACATTCATTGTTATAGGCATTTTTCCCTCACCGTTTTGCTGCCTGCAGGATGAAAACAAAAAGAGGCTCAACATTCAACCAAAAGCAGCTCAAAATAAACTCCTGAAAAGGCTAATCAATGGGGTTGAGTGCGCAATCCCAACATTTTCTTATTAAGCCCAAGAAAAATGAGTGGCAAAATGGCAGCATAATATGGTAAAAACTTTATCAAGGGATAATTAGTTTTTCCCTACTAACACATGTATATACATCTACATATAACCCTCAGACTTCCTCACTTAAGAATTAGAAGTATGTGCACATGCACAGAGGAAAAAAGTAGTGTTCTGCTTTTTGACCTTTTTGTATAATGCTGCAGCTGCGATGAAATGGTGCAGAAATCTAAATCTACTGTCTCACATTGAGTACCAAATGTTCTAAAACAAGACACAACTGAGTGAATTCAGGATAAAGATGTTTAAGTCTAGATATTTGTCACAGGTATCAGAACGTTTGAACATGTTTTGTACTTTGTTTAGTATTTAACACATTATCATAAAGAACACGTAATTCTCTCAGCCTAGACATTTCTATTACTTCCAGAATACTTTCAAGTGTACTGGGCATCACTGTAAAAAAGTTTCATTACAATCTTGACACACTTGGTATAGTTTGAGCCATGTAGAAACGTTAAAGATAAATGTGATAAACAGCACTGGAAAAGCCTGTTATTTCACCTGTTTTGTAGATGTAAGTGATGACTCATTTTGTAAGACAGATGTTGACCAGCACATGTCTGAAGAACGACAAAAGCTCCCACAAATGAAACACTGCACTCAAATGGTAATTTTGATTAGCTATGGATGTTGCACATAGCAAAAACTATATATAGTTTTTAATAGGAATAAATTTGAACTCTTTTTAAAGCTTTGTGCAGGTAGGAATATATATACACAGGAAGAAAACAAAATACAATGCATTTAACTATAACAAAAGGCACATCATCAAAACAAGAACTGCAAAAATATTTTAAATTATAATTTGACTAAAGATTTAACTACAAATGTATATATGTACATTTGACTTCCCCATCTGGAGTCAGTGGGGTGTCTCTCTTTCCTGAAATAGTTTAATTTTGTTGGACCCCACCCATAAGGGTATAAAAAAATGTTTTGTGAAATTTGACCCAATTTAAGTGTCCTAAAATGTCTTTGGGAATGTTTATAACGGTAAAATGAGAAACTAGAGAACCTTGCTAATGAGCAATCCCATTTTTTAAAGGCAAAGGCATAATAAAGTGTAGTAATTCTTCAGAAAATAGCTGATAATCCTAACCTTTTATTTCCCAAAGATTTACGCTAATCATTTGGTCCTTATAAATTTAGCATGATGGTCTACTACAAAACAAATTTACACTTTCAGGAAACAAACTAGCAAGTGAATTTCTGCACTACCATGACCTGCCAATTGTCTCCACCAGCAAAACTTGACAAAATAAATTAAGCAGAGTCAAATCATGCATAGCTTTTGACATTCTTACAGAAAATCCCTCATAATTTAATCTCACCTTTACCTTAGTTCTATCTCTGGTGGCCTTTAAAAATTAAGTTCAATTTTGAAATAGTAAGGCTTTCTTTCTGATGATTCTATTTATTCTAACTAAATTTCTGCATTAGTCCAGCTGCCATTTAATTTACTTCTTTATGAATGTGGAGTTCTTAAGACTAGACTGCCAAAGTGAATTGTCAATGCACAAAAACATGTCAAATATTTAAATTAATTTTAATGTAAAATTGAAAAAAAAGAGTTCCATCTGAAAGAGGCTCAAAAGCAAAAAAGAAAAAAATACCAGCAACGTTACACCACGTTATTGTCCTGAATTTCTGTCTATCTGTCATTCAAAGATAACCTGCTATTTTTAACAGCTTATGTTTATTCTTCACAGTGACAGTGAAACCAAAGTGCCCATGTGAAGATCGTAACTCTTTTCTGTACGTTTAAATTTGTAAACTTCCAAGATACCATACATTACTTAAGAATACAGGATGAACTTTCCCCTTTGCTCTCTAGCAATCTAGAGAGGGAGAGGATGACAAACATTTTCCTATGTAATCAGAAATGTGCTTCCAAACAGTGTTCCGTAGCATAAGTACCAGCCAGTGCCCACTGTACACCAGTCATATACATTCAAGGCTTGGCTCAATGGCATGAGTTTTGCATTTTCTAGAGAATGGGCCTATCCACTAAAATAACAATTTAAAAAAACTAACAGATTAGATATACCAAGGCAATGAAGTGTGATCCTTCTGGAAAAAAGGACTATCAGTACCCCTTTGTGCAAACGGTGTTTTTAGAAAAGCATTTCACATTAAAGCTTCAGTATTTCTAGCAAACTATTGTCTCTATCCCTGAGACAGCCCCTTAAGAAGATGGTCTGTCTGGACTGCAAGATTCTTAAAGTGACTCCATGATTGAATTTGGGGACACTGAGAAAGTAGCTGAGTGAGTTGGGGATGTCTAACATCCATGACACCATAGAAAGCAGCCTGAGAAATACTCTTTACCCGAATACACCTTTCATCTTAGTGATCACCACCTCACAAGAAAAACAACAATAACAAGAACACCAATAACAAAAATGGAGCAAAGCCAGCCATTAGCTCCTGGGAAAGTAGTGTCTCCCTCCCATTTACAAACCAAATTGCTTTAACAGCATGGTCTTGTCTAGATTTTAGTCTACATACAGAATGACCCTGTGTCCTGGAAGGGAAGACATGTAACATTATATATGGCTACAACGCCATTAGAAGTGCATTGTAACCTACATTATCTACTTACAATCCTCTCTCTGAGGGAAAACAACTTGTTAATACGCACGTCTCAGTTGCTGAACATCAAAAGCTTCTGGGATGAGAAACTGGGGGCAGGCAAGAAAAATCTACCCTCATTTTAATGAAAAAGTGCTGTAGGCAGCCAGGAGCAGCAATGATGATCCCCTCCCCAGAATTGATTGCACAAACTCAGAGAGGTCCAAAGTCACATCAGAATCTCTGAGGCACTCCTGGTTCTGAGAAAGAAAAGTCATGATCCAGTAGTCTTTGCAGTACTGTAGACCAAGAAAACAAACCCGTTTCTATTTCTTAACAGAGCCAAAGCATCATCTCATAGGGATCACATTCACCATTTCCGCCGGTGTCTCCAGTCTCACAGTGTTGAAATGGGACTGATCAGCCTACGATGGATTGCACGTCACCCAAGGAGAAAGGAAGGCATGGAAATAGGCATACAGTACATTATATACTGCTTCACAACCATCTTTACAAGGGGGGGAAAATAAAGGTGAGGGAAGAATTATTGCTGTTTCAGTAATACAGTATGATAGCTAGACCAAATCAAACAAGATCACAACAGTATTTTCACACTGCAGGATGATGGTTCTTGTTTTGCCTAAGGATGAACTTGCCTGGGGATTTAGGGGAAAGAGGGAGTCCTAATGAAGGGAGATAAAGTTACACCTGGGATATCAGCTGCATATTGAAACTTGGAGATCGAGACTGCTTGGTTAAGGGAGCTCCTGGGGGGAGAAGATCTTTACCTTCCCCAGCTTGGCCTAGTCGGTCCTCCTGTAGGCTGATAGTTGAAAACCGATTGGTGTTGCCAGCAGCTAGATTGGTAACACCTTCTGTACCAACTCCAACACTGGAGCCTATTTGACTGCCATTGACGTAGTCAAATGATTTACTGGAGGAAGCACTGGCGGTCCTGATCAGGCTCAAACTGTTGGCTTTTGGCACCACCTGCCCAGCAGGCAGGCTGAGGTGTTTCTTAGTAGGTGTCATCTCAATTATATCTGCACCAAGGTCAGTGGATTGGTGTATGTACTGCTTCCGAGCTACTGAATCTCGAGGGCTCTCATTAGATTTTGCTGCAGAACAGGTTTCTTTATCCTTAGAAGAACGTCCGCTTGCTGTTTTCCTTAAGCTGCCCTTCTGGGATACAGATGATTGAGGTTTGGTCCCAACCGGCTGGCTGCTGAGGGAAGCTCCCGATGAAAATCCTTCATCAGCATCGTTAACGTTCACAGATTCTTCTCTTCCATTTACACCTTCAGCATCTATTAATAAAAAGGGAACAACCAAAAAACCCCAAACCAATCAGAACACATAGTAAGCATTCAGGTTACATGAATGCAGAGATGCGCACAATGTCAAAACAAACATCATTTGCTGATCCACCTGGTTTCCACTTCCTTAAAAAATCCTGATTCTCAGTATGTAATCTTCCTGCCATATAGCAAAATAAGAGAATCTGATGATAAAATAAGTACTTCTGGAGCTTCATTTGCCTTTTCTCTACATCATTTTCATCAGTCAAGAATATCTCCAAAAGTATATCTATAAACACAGAAGAAGAATTAGGCCCCATTTGGCTAATTTTAGTTCTGCCTGCAGGTACTGGTGCCAACACATTTGTTTGTTTGTTTTAAAAAAGAAAGTTATATGTATATATACCTATAGATATACATATATAAAGCCTTTCAGACTATTTTTATCCTAGTTTGAGGCTAGATCCAAGCATGTCCAGGAAATCTTCCTGTTTGTGCTGGGTAGGCTTTAGAATTAGGTTAATTCCTAGGCCTGCAACAACGCTCCAACAGAGACAGAAGACTTCTGTTGTGCATAGTTGGCACTTGAAATAATGTAACCATACTTTCTATTGGAGAGTAACCTAATTCCTAGTTCTCTCTCTCCCAGAGCTCAATAATCTCTGCACTTCCAGCAATCCTATCGAGGTCCTTCTATCACATTTGCTCTAATCTCAGATCAAGATTTTTAAGAGGAAAAAAAATCTTGTATTAATAGAAATTTAACTTGTGAAACACTTCAAGTTGTAAAAGAGGCTTTGTGCTTTAGAATGGGATTTTAAAGAAAAAAGACTGACAAGATTCTGTCTTAAACCTTTGTTTTCAGTCTGATAATTTGATTAATTATTAATTTGGGCTGTAAATGAAGACTTTGTTGTTGTTTGTTTGTTTGTTTTAAAAATCTTAATTCCGGTCCTTTTTCTAAGCTCCAAATACTCAAAACGGGAGGTATTGTTTCAGTAGAAAACTGAGCAGCATTTAAGTTTCAAAACTGAAAATGGAGCTTGGGTTTGATACTTTGTTTCTTGTTTTATGGGGTAAAAGTAATGGCAAGGATCTCACAGATTCTAACATTTGAGTAGAACCTGGTCCATTCACACTGATTGCTAGCAGAGCGCTACAGAGCATTTTACATTATTGCAAACAGAACAGACACAAAGCCTTCAGTGTGTCTTCCTCTGTGCAGAAGGAATATGGGCTGATCCAACCTCACAGTTTCTCAAGTGTAAAGGAAAAAGAAACCCACAACAAACAAGAAACAAAGGTTTTGTTATTCTTTTGGTTTTAAAACTATTTTTCTTTTTAGGAAGCTTTGCCTTGGAATTACCATTACTGTGTGTCAGTTTACAATGTTTAGCCTTCTCCAAATCAGATCATGCTCAGGCCTCTCTCACACCAATGCAATGTGAGATTATTCTGCAGTATTATACAGTTCTACTTGACTCAGCCTTTAAGAAGGTTCGTGTTACTACTGTCGTCCTTCCTCAGCAAAGCCCTTCACCTTAGAAAAAAAAAAAAAAGCAGCATATTTTTAGGCTTTAACAGCCATTATTAAAGTGAAGAACACTTTACTTGCTTTAACCTCCTGCATCCATATTTAAAATGCATATACTTCTACTCTGCTCTGTTTGGTCAAGCTAGATCATCATCTTCTCCTTGAGACATACGTGTATTTTCTTACATTAGACAGCAAGATATTTTAGTCAAAACCCATCACATCTCCATTCCCCCCAACCTTCCCACGCATAATCAAAGATGCTAATAAAAGTACAATGTAACTGTAACACACTAAAAGCAAGAGCACTTTTTCAATAAACCAACATTTGTGTTTCTTCATAATCATGCAAAGCTGGATGAAAGCATGTTTGGTTACAAGCAGCAATAGCAGCAGCTGAAGTCCCCTCTCAATCCATTCTATTCCAGCAAAAGATGTGTAACTTGCAAGATAATCTCTTCAACAATACTGCTAAGCTTTTCATTATTGCAAGAACACTGCTTCTTCGATGCTTCCTCACAGTTCATGTCAAAACATTTTTGAGTAACAAAATGCTAAAACTTATATTAACTGGTCAGGGACACTGAAGCAAAGGAGTCACACAGAAAAAGTGGCATTTCATCCACAGATTTTAAAAAATAAGACTGAGAGGGGTTGTTGCAAGCTTTTGGATGCTGCAACTATATAAATGCCCAAGCAGCTCAGCAGTGCTCAAAAATGAAGAAGATAGAGAAGACAACATGCAAGAGAATTTCTGTCTAGTCAAATCCATGTAGCTACAGAAGTTCTCAGTACGACTGAAATAATTCAGCAAACACTCTTTTTGCAGTACATGTTCTTTTTCTTCTAAAAAGCTATCCTCAGAAACAAAAATATTTCAATCTTTGCATACTCTGTTTGGGGGTAAAACAGGATGAAGTCATAGAAGTTTATTGGTTTGTTTCCAGTAGACCAATAAGATGATTTAACAAAAAGAACCTAAAAGCCTAGTCCTCCCAAGTACTCTCTACTGTAAGTCCAGAAGAGAAAGAGACAGTGCAACCTAACAGGAATCCTGTTGATTGCACTACAGCGTGTCTTTTGGATTCTCACTCTTCTTTCAGAATAAATCTCTCTCCAAAGAATACATAATTAATGCCAGTACATAATTAACCCTGTAGACATATATACAACATTCTTCACTGTCTCAAAATAGTGCACAGTGGTTAGCTGCCACCACCCAAAAGCAGAATACCTTGGTAAGGTATTACTAAGTCATTCTTGAAATCTTCTGCCTTCTTGTATTTATTGGGTCAAAACACTGATCTGAAAAGGATTTTATTACAGTTTTTAAAGTAACCTTTATTCTATTTATCCTTTCCGTATCTGAAGTTTGAAGAGTCAATGAAAATGATCAGACATTCTCATTATATCGTTTGATATCAAAATTATATTTATGAGAGGAAATTTTCTAACCAAAACTTGGTGAAGTCAGCATCAATAAAACAACAGATCACTCTATTTACACACGATTCTATACTGATAACCAATCCAAACTCCATTCCTGGGCCTTTTCCCACATGCCGTCAACTGGCAGAATTCAATTTGCCCAAGCACATAGTTATACATGTATACTGCCAACATTTAAAGAAGTACAGTATATTCAACCAATTTCAACAGAAATAAAGCATGTGGAGTTATGACTTCTCCAGTAACATCTCAATTGATATAGGTGTTGAAACAAATTAAGACTAGAAGGCCACATCAACTTCTTTCCTACTTTGCATTTTCCAGAAGGTTCTCTGCAGCTGAGGAGTTCTCCATATCCTTCAGGTCATGCACATGCAAAGTTTAGTAAAGTGAACTAAGATCAACTGAACCAGTGAAGTTAGAAGACTACTTATTTACTGAGCATGCTCAAACTCACTATGCACCAAGGAACAGATTATAAATCTATGCTAAACATTTTTATGCAACTATCTTCTACTGAAGTATGATGTCTTAATTATTGTTTGATAACGCCTCTGATTAAGGGGAAGGATTCTCCGATAACATTACATTAAATCTCCAAGTTCTCCAGAAGAACAAATTTGAAGCCTATGTAGCTCGCTCCTATCCAAATCCACAAATAAAATCTTGTTTATGATCAACTGATAGGACTATAATTGTTGGAAATACCAAAACTGTTTGATAGACTGTTCAGATGGAAAAGGAGACTTAAAATAGGAAAACACTTGAAATTCCATTAAGTTAGATTTATAAGAAATTAATTCTCATCTCTGAAGAGAAATCATGATCCAAATTTCAGCGCTCAAATGCTTGTTCTCATGGAATAAAGATGAGAACATTAATAGATGAACTTAAGCAAAGTGAGTATCTGCCAGCTACTCTATCTGCTATTGCTGGTTGCAGAGCAGGCATACAAAGCTCTACAGCATTTATGTGGACAGCAAAAATGAGCAAAAAAGCAAATACTGTTTCCTAAGCATTCAGAAACATGACACCCTGATTTATTCTTGAAAACACAAGATTTTTCTCATTTGATAATTGATTTTAGAGCAGCCAGGTCATTCATGTAAACTAGTAAGCGTAAGAATCTTCAGTTAAAGAACGACTGGCAAATAAAAATATCTCCAGTTGTGAATGTCTTAGATAGGCTTGTCTTTGTTCTTGGAAATTTAAAAAAAAACAACCATGGACTAACAAGACACTATTGGAACTAAGTTGTAGCCAACCAAATACAGTTGCAAACACAATACAACCAATATTCTACACTGTCTACTTTTCAGGACTAGACTCATGTTTATCTGGTGCATTTTTTCCTTCTGAATATTAAACATGCTCAGTAATAGAAAGTTTCCAAGCAATCCCAAAGCTCTTGGCTATTGCCCCTGTCATTTTTATTTTTATTTGCCATGCCAAGCAGTCTTTCACCACACAGATGCAAGCCCCAGGCCAGCCCACGTGATAACAAAAGGTAGTACCTGACCTGATGTTAGGTATATAGGGGATGCGTGTATTGCAAAGAGAAGCTAATACACCCTGGGATAGCGGAAACACACACTAGAATGGAAAGAAGTTCTGCTTGGGGATAGGGAGCCAGGATCCTCCTCCAGCAACTGCCTCACTGACTTCTGCCTCCTCATCTCTGTCCTACCCTCTGTTGTGGCTGCTGCCAAGGTGGGCTCCAGGAAGCCATGCTCAGGGGTCCTGCGCATCAGCACCTCCCCCTCTTGCTCATGTTTGATCCCTAGGTCTGTGGAGCCGTGTTGGATCGGTGAGCCAGGTATGCTTGAGTCAGCCTCGTTTGAGAAGTCAAAGCCATCTGGGATTCAACATATAACATTTTAGTGCTTTTCTATTCCTTTCTTGGCATTTCAACCCAGGCAGGGAAAATAGAAGATTTATGCGGACATGGAACAAACAACGAAACACTACCCACGCTTAGTTAAGTTTGTGAGAACATCCACAGAAAAGGACAAGTGGGCTATGCTGTAGACCAGAGACTTGAAAAATGAATATAATGGCAACTACAGTAAAGACAAACACGACCCAGAGTCCTGAAAACAGAAGACAGCTGCTTCTTGTCCTGAACATCCATTCAGTTGAAGACCAGAAGTCATTAAATCCTTTGGCACACGATATAGGAAAAAAAAAGTATCAAATGAAAGATGTAATACTTGTTTTTTAGACTCTTGTACCCTCTATTTATTTTTAGGTTATATTACTTTTTTTTTTTTTTTTTTACCTTCTGCCATTTATGCATCTTTTTAAAATCTGTTCAATACATGCAGAGACAAAGTTCTGTTTGACAAAATGAATTCAAAGCAAGCTTTTTGCTACAGCTACAATGAAGATTTCACCACATGAAAGTAAGCATTACTACATATTTACTGTTCTTCATACAGTCAAGCACACTTCTATATGATCTAAATATTCACTGAAGAAAAATAAGGTTAATTCTAAACTATCCAAAGCTACTTTATGACATATCCTCTCTGTAAGGCGGGCCATATGATGCTAGGATTACAGTGTTCAGCTCTTCCATCTCCCATTGCCTTTAGTGGTTGTAGGTAACCGGAACCCTGTCAAGGTCTGACTAATACCATTCATTCCCTCATCTATTTATGATGGCGTGCAGTGAAGTTTGAATGGATCAAAGAAAGAAGTCAAATTATAAACCAAACTCTGCCACTACAATTTTATGCTGTGTTACACAGAGAAAAAAAGTCTTAACTATTTCCAGCCTCTCCATTTATTTATTTAGTACCTACCTCATGGGTTATCACCAGATCAAAAACAAAACAAACATCCCAAACCTTCATGTTCATGCAGTGCTCTGAAAATGTAAAATACTATGATACTAAAATACACTGTTATGGAGTATCACTTTTCAAAACAAAACAAAAACAACAACCACAACCAACTGTTCTGCAAACATTCAAACTCAGAAGCCAGGTAACAGTGACGATGAATACAGTATGCTACAGTATTTGCTGTCAGCAGAGAAAGCTCACCTTCTCTCCTCCAGCGGTGACGACGGATAGAAGCTGTTGTAATGGCAGTCCGAGAAATCCTCGGCACTGTTGGAGTAACTTCTACCTTCAGTACCTTCTGGCCTTCTTGTGACGCATCAGGAGCATCAAAGGGCAGTGAGTTCTTCATGGCATTTGCAACCTAAGATGAAAATAAAATGCTATACTACCACCATGCTTGACTGTGTAAGTGGCAGCTTTAGATATCTTTGCTGGATCCAGAACAGGAAAACAACCAAGAACTGTCAATTATGCCAGATCCCATCCAGACAGATAGCTCCATCCCCAAGATTCAGAGTTGGTAACTAAGTTGGGAAGCTCATCACAAGCCTATTCCCAAAAATACAGTTGAATTTTCTCTCTCTCTCTTTTTTTTTTTTTTTTATGTAATCTACTTTGTTCCAGGTTTGCCCCTGTACTCAGAGGTAACAACCTACACCAGAAGTTCTCCACCCAAACAAGATTGCAAAATGACAAGAAAAATGAAAATACCACTTGTGTCATGACGAGAATGGTCACAAGCCGAGCCAATACAACTGGCACATGGTCTCATATATGGGAGACACAGGACCAGTTTCCTTGCATGTCCCATTTTCCCCCTCATTCCCTACCATCTCAAAAAAGAATTAGACTCTTGCAAGATTTTAAAAGAACTGCAACCTAAGCAATGGGCGTCAAATCATTAGAATACAGTGATCTTTATAGATCTAATTTTTATTGTAATTGTGAGAGTAATACATTGTATTGTAATAGAGTAATATATTATTAGTGTAATTTATATATTGAAATATAGATCTAATTAGTTGTACATATAATATTGTAATATATATGTAATTTTTATTATAAAACCAGATGCTTTGCATCTTTGAGATACAAAACTCTTTTGGCTTTGATGTTTTAACTGTACCTTTAAATTTACTGTAAAAGGCTTTGTTGGATTAGAGATTTACTATTATTAAAGCATCTTTCAATTAATGTTTCCTAGTTTACAATTGTTCTAGAAGTAAACTCGTGTAGCAGCTCATGAAAAGCAATTTAGGCCTCTGTGGCACGTGCTGTATTCAGCAAAAATAAAGCTGCTACACACAAAATGTTTTAAAACTTCAGAAAAAATGTCTAAGTGAACTCACCTTGATTTTCCAATCTTATTGACTTCATACAACCAACCAGTATTAAAAACTTTGGAACATTTTAAATTAGACATGTCAACTTCATTCATAGATCTCTTGTATTTCACAAATATTTGACTCGCTACATGCTCCTTAGTCCCCCTCTAAGGGGGAACGCAATAGGTAAAATAAGGTCAGAGACAACTAGACTTAAAATAAAACAAGCATGGAAAATGTATCTGATTAATCTCTATAAAATCCTACCTGCCAATAGCTGCCACAATAATTTGTGTAGTCTATTCTCCCAATTACAGTTTACAAGAAGCATTATGAAAAGCAACATAATATCATCTCCTTCTCTTGCATCAGAAAACAAAGTTTAAAAAAAAAATCAGTGATGGAATTTCAGAGATCAGAATTCGCTATATGACAAGAGAAACGTATCTTGAATACACACGGCCTGCACTGTTAACCCAAGGCAGGGGCATGTAAAACCTTTTTAAAAGATACAGATACGGCTATAACGTGGCAGTTCTGTCCACCCAAGTGAAATACAAATCACCTTTAGAATACACATCTTTGCAAGATATTCCATTTTTCTGACCATGCATGAACTTTCCTTCCTTTCACAACATATTGTATTCCTGTTCTGTAACATAAATATGATCAAGCTTTTTTTTTTTTTTTTTTGTATGAAAGCATGTATCTAGCTGCTGGAGTTGATACAACTGTTTAGCACATGACTACAATCAAGCATTTCCTAGTCTTATGCTGTAAGCAACATTTTCCAATGCTCCTCTCAACCTAGTGAAAAAATTAAAATATGTTTAAACTCCAATGTTGTCTTGATATTCTGAGATTCCCCGAGGCCTCAGAAATGTGAGGGACATCCCACAAATTCCTTCAATTCCCAAAGACTACATTAGGGAAGCAGATTTAGTGTATGAAGTTAGGAGAGATCTACTAAACCAATGGAACAGATTCTATTCGCAGAACTTTCCTTGTATAATTTGTCTTGTAAAGACCTCAAATAATGCTTGATTAAAAAAAATAAATTGATGCATACCATATGCCTTAAAAGCTCTGATTTACAAGTGTTTATCAGTACCACAGTAAAGTAAAAGTGACTTTCCCGTACATTCGAATAGGCAAACCATCCAGCAACCATACGAAGAAATGAAACTCATTCAAACATTAAAGCAGAGATGACAGGATGTTAACTAATCAAAGACTTCTCACTTCCTGGGAAGCTGGAATAGCTGTCATATCCTGATCTTCTCCAGCTTCTGCTGTGATCCTGGAAATCCTCATTAAACACTTTCTCCATTGACTTCTTGCCTGACTTCTACCCAGCCTAAATATTCTTGGCACCGGTGTAGAAATGCTCTTTGTCATGCTGCCTTCTACATGCCCACCTCTGTTTTGTCCTTTGCTAGTCAATTCTCTCAACCTCACCACAATTGCTCTCCTATTCACACACAGGCCTTTTTCCATGTTGTCCTCCTGCAGTGGTACAAACCTCACTGCTTTCAACCCATCCTTGACCTCATAAAAGACTTCAGAAACTAATTTCTGCTGTACTGACCCAACACAGATTAAGTTCAACCATATACAGTGGTTTATCTTCCAATCATCTCTTTTACTAATATTTCACCCTCTTTTGAGCAAGTACCTTTCTCAGCATTAAAATCTAAAAATCAGTAGAATTCTGCATTAGAACCAGGTAAGTGACACAAAACTTTACTTGAGGAGCTTTTTAAGAACTTGCCCTTTTTAACAGCACAAATCATACTTCTGGGGACTGAGGAGAATCACATTGAAATAAAGTTCATGCAACAGTAAAGCAATCCAAACAGACAGTTTGGATGAAACACAGCCATTCTCCATCAGGAAAAAAATGAAAAATAAAATCTGCAATACTTCGGGATGGGAAAAAAAATTGCTTTCATTATGTTTTAGGCTCCCTAACAACAACAGGCACTAGTTCTGTACTAAAAGGTGGGAAAGCAAACCACAGCAGAATTCAGATTTAGCAAGCCAAATCTGCAACTGGCAATGACAAAAGAGAACTGGCTTCATGCCAGATAGCCACCCTTGCCCACCAGAAATAAGCTCTGACAAGAAGAACGTGCAGTAAAAGCAGTAAGTACATAATAAAAAACACTGGATAAAGGTGCTGTTACAACAGGGACTTATTGATCCATACCTCTATGGACCAGGCTAAGAACACCTGTGCATCTCTGCGCCAAAGCAAAGGATTTCCTTTTGAAACAAGTGCAGAAGCTTTGTGTTCAGAGGAAGATGTTATTTGACTGGAACTGCGCTACTCACTCCTAAAGTGCAGCCTACCTTAGCAATAATATTGAATCACTTAGATTAGTTTCCAACTGCAGAAACTCCCAGTGTTCGTGACTATGAAACCAATATCCAGTATTTGTTAACGGATTCCCTTCTTCTACCAAAAAAAGCTTTTCCCTCGGATTAATGCCTGCCTTTCCCAGTGCAGTTTCTGGGTAATGGTGAAAAAATGGCTTGGGAACTGCTTCAATAATCACAGACACTTCAGATTCCTGATGCTGCTATTTCAGGATTTATTTTTATTCCACAGGCAATATAAACCTATTTAAATAAGAACATGGATTTACTATATTGTCAAAAATATTTCTCCAACAGACATACTCAAACACAGGGAGTGTGATGTTTCTCATTGTAATGACTGACAGTATTCTCACAATTACATGAATAGCCTGAGTACAGATGTCTAAAAATAATCCTACCATGGAGGATTGCCTAAATATTAAATGGATTTCAAACAATTTGCTGCTGTTAGGCAATCCTAGGCAGAGACTGAACTTTAAACATACCTGGGATGATGCACAGATGATATTTTATTTGATGCCAGTAACCGCAATAGTTTAAAATACAAAATTTTATGTAGATAATCATACACATCTCCTGGAGACTACTACTAAGTGAAAGGACTCAATACTTGAAAATGTCAAATGCTTTGGTATTATAGCATGAGGCCACAGACATGCAGGTCACTTTTTAATATGAAATGGTAATTTATTAACACTGCTTTTCAAAAACCACAGTAAAACAAGATGGGAAACAAATGCAGTGATCAGGGCAAGACAAAAACATACAGATATGCCTGCACATGTATGCATGAAAACCAGACAAGTGGGCAAGTGGAAAAAATTGGTGATACCATGACATTGCCAAACAACTGCTTGGAGTGGCAAAATATCTTTGTAAGAACAGACATTCCAGAAGACTTTTACAATTAAAAGTCATCTCAAAAGACAAACTGATTTTTAAAACTCCTGAACAATCAGGATTGAAAATTGTCCTATCATCAATTGAATTAGGTTCCAGATCCTCCTACACACTTTTAAAATGTTGTATTTTGATAGGCTGGCCTCATTCAGTAGTTTCAATATTGAATTTAAAACTTTCCATCTGATGGAGCAATGAGTCATTTCCAAAAGGAACCAGCAATTATAATAATTCAATGGATACCAGCCATTAAAAAGCAGAACTCTCAGAAAGCCTGTAGATAGCTTTTACAGCCAATATTAATTAATCAAGAGCATAATTTTACTTAATTTACTGGAGAGAGGCATGTCAGATTGTCACAAAAGAAAAAGACTTTTCCCAATCCACTCCTTTCTCAGCTATACAAAAAAAAGCCTTAAAATTCTACTGTTGGTAGTTTATAGGAGGACCAAAGGCTTCTGGCCACAATTTGGACAAACTGAGATAATATTCTGTTCTACTTCTTTCCTTTACTATTCTTCCGTATTTTAAGTCTCATTCCTACATCTGACAAAAAATAAAAACCTTCCATTCCTGCTTCCTTTATCACCCTCCTCATTCTCTCCAACCACATGAACTTACATCCAGCTTAGTTTCACCTCTTTCCCTGCTTCATTTTTCTTTTATGACTGGGACAACAATTCTAGTGAAAACCGGGGGTAAAAAACACAATTGATCATAAGAAAACCATTTTAATGATGCTCCTCTAAAGGAGGTAAAGATTAAGATTTGTGTGATTTTAATCAATCAAAATCCAACACTGACTCTGGAGATAAAGCTCCTCTGCACTTTCAGCTCTATTCTGTTGCTGTTTGTTCTGTTGTGTTATCAGTTAAACCACAAAACATTCTAAACCCTTCTGAAGGTCTAGAAGCAAAGAATATACCTTTTTGCAACCAACATCCTATGACACACAACCATTCATTTAAGCTTCTTTGAATCACTCATGAGTAGCTGGTGCCAAAACAACAAACATTTTGATCCAATTGTACAACATTAGAAAATCCTATCTTTCTGCATTAATTAAAGACCCCAACACCCTAGCAGATAAAGCATGGTATAAATAGCTATGTTAAAAACACCAGCTGTTAACAACCACTTGTGTTTGGGAATGCAGTAAACAGCAACAAATGCTTTCATTATGAGTCCACTTCAGAAATGCATCCATATTCTTAATCAAGTCCATAAATTTCATTATTTTTTTTTCTTACCAACAGAGGCTGTGAGTAGAGTTCAAGCTGTGCTCTGTAAATTATGTCCTCCAATACCTCCTGGCCAAGATCCCACTGACCATTATATCTAAAAATTAAAAAAAAAAAAAAAAAAAAAAAGAAATTTATCTTTTGTGTCTTTGGTTCTTTTTGTGTCTTTTGCTGCCCAAATACAGCTTTTCACTTCTTATGTGGAAAACTGCATACACACCCAGCCCCTCCACTTCTTTCAGAAGTGTGGACAGAGTTTTGTATTACTCTTGTTGCTATAACAAAATGTCATACCCCCTGACACCTCCAAGTGAAAAAATGTTGATACCATAATCAGGACAAACTTAAAGAATAAAAAAAACGGGTCAAGATATAAAGGTTTACAATACTTAGCAGGACTCTATTTTAATCAGTAACAGATCTTTGCTACCTCAGAAGCTACCGGTATTCGAGAGGACTGCACTTCAAGTTACCCTGGCAGCCAAGCTCATTATGCTTTTGAACAGAAGGTTATCTGAAGGTAGTGGAAGCTTAGGAGAAGATGATGCGAGGAGCCTCACTCTCTTCAGCACCTACTGCTGGTGTTTCACCACCTACTCCAATGTTTACAGAGATACTCACACATTATCAGTCGACTGACTGAGCAAGTAATGGGAAATATAATAATTTGAGTTAAGATTCCTGTGTCCTAAAAGTTTAATTAATTTCTTTCAATTATAAAGCAACAAATGCTGCTATTTTAATCCATGTAAAACTAGCCATTTATTCTTTTACAAAAAAAATAATAAATCTACTTACATGGCATAATAGACACCTGTGAGCAGCTGCACCATGAAGTCAGGGTCCAACACCACTCTACCATAGTGTTCTTTCCAGCGTTTCTCATGCTGCCGTGGAAATCCACTCACACACAGCCTGAAGGAACATATCATTGTAACAAAATGTTAACCGCAGAAATACTACAAACATCTTTACATCAAAGCGATTTCCTTTAATTTTTAAAATCTGCTTTTCAACATGTAAGTACACAATGTCGAACACTTTATGTTGCTCTTCCAACCATTAAAACAGTTTTAAAAGTGTCTTAAGAAATGACTTGCTGATAATCCAAAGTATTATTCCCATATAGCCATCATCTCTTTTCTTCAAATCATAACCAAAATGAGGCAAGACATTCTCTACTGCCAGCCACTAAATACGAGGCTTTCCCAGAAACTCAATAACCAAAACTAATTTTCTTAAAAGGAAACAGTGGTATAGAAGAGAGACAGGTCATCCCCCATCTAATGTATACCGACAGCATGCAATCACCTTTTACCTTTAGTTAACACAGATATTGTATACTTGAGAGTTATTTTCAGCTGCCTTCTAAACAAAAAAAAAAAAAGGAAAACAAAAAACAAACAAAAGTCTTCTGGCCCGTGACAAAGTGTATGCTTTTTATACTACATAGCACTGACTCTACAGTTTAAAAAAAAAGATGAATTTATTCAAAACTTTAATATCTGAAACTTATATGTGGAACATGGAAACAATACATGGCTTCTAATACATTTAATGTACATTTACTGTTTCTCTAACCTACATGTATTTAGGATTTTGCTCATAAAAGAAAATAACATGCATGAAACCTCAAAATTAACAGACATGCTAAAACACAGCATTCGATTGCCTGTTTTCCATCAGACATCTGAACATGTAACTTCTACACAGTGCACGGATCCAGTAATGCCTAGATTAGTTTTCCCTTTTAAAGCTAGCAAAAGGGATTGCATGAACTTTTTGAATACAAACTGACACCGATCAAAACAGTGAATGAAAATGCCCATTAGCCACCAAAAAATCCCAAAGGTTTCAGGGGAGAGGATCCCACCACTCACAAAAAAAGTATTTATGACACCTTATACTTGTTTTTTAATTCTTCAAACAAAGATGAGCAAATGCATCTGGTAAAGAATAAAAGCTAATACCTAAAGGATTTCCCAGTTATCATCTTTAACCTAAAACCCATGCAATTTATTATTTTAAAGCATGTTTCGCAGCCTCAGTGACAAAAACTGTAGCCCAAGTTCCTTTCTAGGTGACAAGCAGTGCTACAATGAAAAGCAACTACCAGCTTGATATGGTTGGTCTACTTTTTCCACCCAGGCAAGCTGCATAGATCAAAGTATCCCAATGGTTCTGAAGGTTGCACTGCAGACCTGCCCAAAAGCTTTCAGAAGCTTCACAGTTACACAAGGAAGATCCCAGAAGTTTCCATTTCCAGGTCACTCTGCTGTTTGTGGAACAAAGTGACTCCTGCTTTAGGCATCCAATAACTACATTATAAACTATTGTAGAACTTCTACGTGTAATAACCAGAATACAAGTTAAAAATGAAGTTTACAGTGAAGTTTCAATAATGCATGCTTAGAAGAGCAACAATGTGCATAAGTTTAGCTAAATGAATACAGTTCTGGAAGTTGTATTTAGAAAATTAAGGAAAATAACTGCAACTCAATAACTCAAGTTGAAAATGGATTCCTTTAACATGCATGTTACACAACTGTGACCACATAACACAGAAGACAAAAATGTGCAACTTTTACTCAATTCATCATACAATAATCTCATTGTTGGAAATGGTTTGTTGCATCCAAACTCTTGTTGCTGCTGCACTGTTCCAAACAATAAAAAAAATCCTTAGCCTATAAAATGTTCCCTCTACTCTCTACTCAAAGAATAGATCTAATTTTGAAATGCAGGGAAATTGAACACACTTGCCAAATTCAGCACAGTCTTAACTTGAAGATGATGGAAGCACACCAAGAATTAAATCATTGCCATCAGAAATTAGAGGAAGGAAAACAGACTGTCATCTTAATTAACTTTGTGTGCATTACTAGAGAAAACACATTGTCAGAAACTAGCCTGATCCTTTTTTGTCATACAACTGAATTGCAAGCAATGTTTTTCTTTTATGACAATAGTGTGCTGAAGCAAATAAGCTAAAAATCAAACATGTTTAAAGAGATCACTCTGGAGATAGCAGGGAAGAGAATTTATCTCATTTTAGAAAAAATTGCTTATAAAAACAGGCAGATAGGAGTATCAGAAATACTTGAGATTTTTCAGAGCATAAAGCAGTGATCTTTGCCAACCAGATGCCAGATGCTTCTAAGACTATCCAAGCAGGAGATTAAGTAAAGGACACGTATAAGAGTTTGAGAATTCACAGTACTGAATTCTCCAGAAAATTGAATGTCATTCCCACTGTGGAAAGAAAGGAAAAAAAAAAAAAAAAAAAAAAAAACAAAGCTAAAACCCAGGATATTGTTTAACCACTTCATATGAACCATTCTCAGAAACAAGAGAGGTTTATATTTGGAAGCAGAGGAAGCTAGACGCATTCCTCACAAGATTTTAAAGCTGATCATACTGAGAAGTATCAGATTTACCTATCATTCAGACAAAGACAAATCAGTCTGAGCAAAATTAAACAAACAAGAACAAAAAAAAACACAACACCTTCTTTTCTTCCTCAAAGAACAGCAACAGAAAAGTTACATAACTGGAATGAAACCCAATGCAGCAGTAAGATAATCTACGTGTTTTATTTATATTCAAGCATAGCATCAAATCTGCAATTAAGTTGCAGCAGGACTGACTAAGAATTACAGGTTTTAGGTTATTAAATACAAGTAAATTCACTTTTTTTTTTTTTTTGGCTGGAATAGCATTTAGAAATCTAGATATACCCTGCAAAACTACATCAAAGGCAAATGCCTCACCTGGAACCCATCCTACAAAGTGATTGGTAAGAAGAGGCAGGCATATAGACAATAGCAGAATTGTAGCACAGCATGAGAAAGCTCAGCACCTCGAACCTGAAAAGAAACAAAACTCAGTCTCAAAATTGCCTCACAGGAAAATGTGTCATGAGTAAACACACAAATCCTGAAAACCTCTCCCATTATAATTCACTAACTTGAAATGGGACATTAAAGGTTCACTTTAAATTGTTATTATTGAAAACCATTAGCCTATGTAGGAATTATGGAGGAAAGAGAACATGGCATAAAATTTGGACAAAGAGCTACAGAGCTGGACAAATCTGTAACACTTTTAAATTATTTTATCATTTTTTCCAGAGCTAGCTTTAAACAGGTAAAGCTGAGAGTCACCTAGAACAGCAGGGCATTGAAACAGCTAGTCATACAGCTCAGTCTGCTCTTCAACATGCAAGGGATCTGGCTAAAAATGCTGGCTCCAGTGACTAATGATGAGTAAGTAGACTCCCAATCTTCCATGTCCTCAAGCAGCAGAAACAAGAAATCCAGTTTCTGTCATCACTTATCCCTAGTTCTATCTGTGCACTCAACTTCATTCCCATTTTCCTGTGGAAAAAGCAGTCCCAGTTCTCAAGCGAGAGCTGACGTTTTTTATTTTTATTTTTTTTAAACACTTCCAGGAACATTTGAATTGACAGGAATAAACCCAAAGATATTCCTGACAGACACAGCAATGACATAGAAGTTACTCACATCTAAATTAAAAGTAAGAACACATGAAGTTGGAAGCAAAAACAAAAATATACCTCAAGACTACTAACTTGTTCTCTAGCTTTATTTCCAAGCACTATATGTTGAAAAAGGACCAAAATATAACCTATTTAGTCTTAATGTTTAAGGACTTGTTGACTGCTTAGCGGAGCACCTCCAATGTTACAATGCATCTGATACCTACCGGTTCTGTGCTGTGAAGGTTTCTCTTTGAGGATGAAGATCACTGTAAACTACCCTGATGAGATCATGCTGACACAGAGCTCCTTCAGTTAAAGCCATGGATCCAATTGTAGAGGGCTAGAAGTAGGTGATGGAGGGGGGGGAATAAGTAAACCATAAGTAAAATTTCTCCAAAAGCATTACAACTTCTAACCACTCAAGCCAAAATACACACTTGTCTTGTTATCTATAAAAAAATAAAATTATTTCAGAATACTGTAAATCTAAAAACATTATCTGATTTCGTTATCATAAACTGCAGTAGAGCAGGTGAGAGTAGTTTTCAATTTTGATTGTTGCATAGCCATCTAAAGTTTGTCCTAATTGCACAGACCTCTTGTACAGTAACAGTGGAGAAAGAAAAACATAATTCCAAATTCAAATTGTATTAATGAGGAAATAGACTTCTCTTATCATAACACTTAAGAAGCAACCCATCTGCAACTACAACACAATTAACCTCTGTTCAGAATGGGCACTGTCAGCAAAATTTTTTTTCAACATTTACATTACTTCACTATTGCTATTATTGAATTGAATTACATAATTGCTGCAAGACAGGGACATCAAAAACACAATGCAACAGGGTGCACTTAAAATGGTCTGTTGCATTAAATGGATGCAGTTTTCATTGCTCTAATAGATACAGGTCTAATTTACCATAGCAGTTCTTTTACCTCATGATATATGGAGGGTTTAGATAACGAAGGGATGGTGAAAGATAAAACTTTGTTGTTTCCATCTTTGTCAGCAATTTCCTGCATTTAAAAACAAACACAAATAAGCAACAGAAAAAAAAATTAAGTCAGGACTTGGAAACTTATAGAACTCTTGAAAGGTATTTAAAAAGTAGGAAGTTAGTTGCTCTGATCTAATAAGAATGTTAACACTTTAACGTCTCTGTTTTGCAGAGTATCAGCAAATCTATACACATTTTAAAAACGGGAAAAACCTCTATCACAGACGTCAGTTAAAAACATCATTGGCTCCTAGATCATTGTGAGTTCATCAAAAAGCAAGAACTAAAAGCTTCTCTAGCCCACCTTAACATTATAACATTTATTTATAATAGAATTGTGTAGTGGAGCAAAGATAAACTTTAAGCCTGAAAGATACAGATGCATAAGAGCTGATGAGTCACTTTCTGAAAATGGACAGCACTTCATAATAAATGCATTGCAGAGAAAAGGTGAAATCAAGAGGACTGGCAAAGCCTCTTCGGGCATTCTATCAGTACGAAATATACATTTTTTTCTCAAAGGGCTATTAAAGTGATCAGATTTTATAGTTGCTAGGCTACTATATAAGCAAACCCAGCTATTTGTAAAGCCAGTACCCTAAGAACAATTACATAAGGTTGCACCAAAAAGGAGTCCTAAAACCCTGCTAAAACCCATTTTGAACTATAAACTACAAACAATGAGCTAGTCATTCAAGATTACACGAGAACCTAGTCCAAGGTAGCACAGCACTCAGAGTAGGCTTTAAGAGTCACAGTAGGAAGAGAACTGTAGGCATTTAGCAGAATGAAAAAGATTTATCATTGTCTTTCACTTTCCATAGACTGACAAAGTAACTTCATCTCCTTCAGTATCAGTAATGTGCAAAGCAATAACAACTGAACCAAAGAAAAAAACTTAAAGGTAGCTACTGTTCATTTTGAGGCCTCCTTCTTTTTGAGTTTGGAGAGAAGGAAGAAATTACTGTCCTTAAATAACATTAATCACCAACATGAGTTTCAAAGGAACTACAAAGGGACCTTTATGAGAAAACTGAAGCCAAAGACAAATATCCAATCCAGCAAACAGTACCAACAATTAATAAGCCATTTCCTTTTTCTTTTTTTCCCCCATCAGAATAAATCTAAAATAATTGGATTTTCCATTCCAGTTGTTTGAGCTGATCTAAACGCATAGCAAGAACTTATTTATTTTTTAAAGAATTTCAGTCTCATCATGGGTACAGTTAAAAGGAGTGGTTCACTATAATAGTAGAGAGAAGGGCAATGTTTCAGTATAATATGCTTTCAAGTTAGATAAAAAAGAAATTCCCATCAGAGAATGCCTATCTTAGCAGTATTTCCAAATCTGTCAGTCTCATAATACGAGTAAACATTTCCAGGATAAGGTAAGTATATTAAAAAACAACTGTTATAACCAACAGCCAAACCTAATCTTCTACAGTTACTTTTACGAATTCTTAAAATCGTATTTCCACTCAAGACAACTATCTGCCTTAACTGCAGACACGCATGTATTTAAGTGCAAACATGCACAGTAGGTTCAGCTTCACACTGTACTTAAGACCAATTCAGAGTAAGCTCGGGTGGTGGTGGGGGGAAGCTACACAGGAAGGTTGACCGAACATACGCTTGACAATCAGGTCTGTAGAAAGCTGTATGTTTCACCATTAAGAGGAATACTTCATTTTGTTACATGTTCTTACAAGTATGTAAAACTGAGAAAGCCCATGAGATAATCCTTCTTAGTCAAAATGTTTGTCCCAAAGGGATTTATAAACAATAAAGAATATCTTCACAAACACGTTTTTACTAAACTTTCAGTAAACTATGCTTTTTTTACATAGATTAAGTATGTTTTCATGCAACCATATTATAATTTTAATTATGTTCTTTTAATATTTTGCTTTATTCCTACTGGTCAGTGATGGAAAACTTTAGATCAAACCTTTCCACATCCATCCTCACTTACCAAGTTGTAAATGCCAAGCAGCAATGCTTCAATGCAACCATTACTTTGCCTATCCCTGCTGGCAGTAAGACGCAGATACACCCAGATCAACTCTGGCAAAAATTGTAATGTGAACCTCTTTAGCCGAACTTCAGAACTGCGATATAGTTCGAAGAGCTGGTGGCAAACAGGCTCCAGGAGCTGTGAAAAGGCAAAAAGGGTAATAAACTAACATTAGGCTTCCCTAACAAGGGAAAATACAATAGCAAACATAGGGGATATGCAATGCAACCATCACAGCCAGTGAAGATGTTCCTTGATGTCAAGTAAATGAATGAACCAAAATGAATTTGTATTCCTTTTAAGGAGATCTACAAGTAGTAAGTATTGTTCCCAAGGGGAACAAGTAAGCAGTACAAGGAAATGAGAACACTATTCTCTAGGGCTGTCAGTATGAGAATTATTTTGTACACAGGTACTAATTAAAGGCATGTGACAGACTTGTGGCTTGAGCTATGCACACCATAAAACTTTTAATAGCACATTTGTAAGGTTTAGAAAGGTATTAAGGTTGAAGATTAGTAGCAACTTCTAATGACCAGTCTATTGACAGACATATAAATTCATTTCTTAGCAACTACTTTTTAATCTCAAACCCAACCATTATGCATTTATTCAACACAATGCCAAACCATTCTTCTGCCTGAGCTGCCTTTTGGGTTTCAAAAAAAGGCCTTTATCAAGTCAGTAAGCACAAGAAAAAACAGTCATTTTAAGAGTCTACAATGCTAAGTTGACAGCTAGAATGCATCCATAAAACTGCTAGAGAACATACAAAATAACAACAACAAAAACATGTCAAACCGTCTCTCCCCCTTCCCATAACTAATCAAGTCTTTAAGACCATAGTCAAGAACTCCTAAAACACAACATGTATTCAGAGAGGAATTTTGTAGATACTGTTCTGAGACTGTCTCAAACAATGTTTTTTCCAAGCTGTTAAGAGATGGGATGATCTGACCTAAGGAAAATGTTCATGGGGTTTGATGTCCAACAAACTGAGGTATCCATGTAACCTAAAGAGCTGCTATTTGTACAGAATAGTTACACAGTCAGAAGAAAAGAGGCCAGAATATCGTATTTGTGATATTTTCTAAACAGACATGCTTTATGCCTCTTATGTACACACACAAAAACATTAGACATCAATTTACACATATCACTTTTTAGAATAACAAAACTCCTGCATTTAACCAATATGACAGCAGTCATACTGGTGAGACAAAAAGGCATAAATATGAAATACCCAGTGCAGAGCAAAAGATCAGGGACTGTATGTATGAATCCTCTTTCAGTACACAGTCTCACTCCCCGGGGTTATGCAGGTTAAGCCTTTCAGAGAACAAGCGACACGCTTCCTAGATTTTGATGCACTCTTCAATTAATTTGTCTAGTCATCAAAATCTTAGTACCCAGAATTTCCTGTGGAATTATTGTCACTGCTTTGCTCTGCTGTATGACAAAGGACTTCTGTGGTTTGTTGTTTTTAAGAGGATGGTGCACAAGTCCCGTGCTATCAGAAGAAAGGAAGAGCCACTTCTAGAAGTGCTTAGCTTGGAAATTCAAGAAACATGCAAGGCCATAGATCTGTATGACTGTAAAACTTAACGTATACTTATTTAGACTTAGGTGTTTTACTCTAGTACTTCACAGACACCCAGCATAAATTTGACAGTATCTCTATCAAGATAGCTACCTTAAGAGAGCATCAACTTTACAGTGCTGAAGAAAATGTGAACACAGTTCCAGTTCTAATACACAGTACCCTGGTCAAAGAAGCATGCTATTTTAAACCACTGGTTACATAAGCCATAACATCACATCTATGTAAAATAAAACTTTGCTAGCAGACAAATCTCGTCTTATGCAAGGCTTGGTGTAAGCACCTTGTGTAACAAGGCCTCTGATTGACAGTCTAATTATTCTAAGCTAAAAGCCTGTTTTTACAACAGAAGCAAAGGCAGACTCCACATGAGAGGGAGGGAAGAAAGCTGACACTAAGAATGCTGACACAGAATGAGCAAAGTCCAGTAATTTGGAGCACAGAGATTCTTACAAGCCATGTATGTAATATACCTCAATATGTCATTTTTTATTTGGGATCTAAGTGAAATTAAAAGCAAGTAAATCTCCTACTGCGAATGTTTTGACAGCATTGCCTTATTAGGTTCAGCAAACATTTTTTTATTTAGCATATTTATTCTAATATATTACACTTGTATAGCACCTTATGTTCTAAAGGTGCAAATGTATACTGTCTTAATATTTACTTAGTGCAAATTCCTATCTAAAAGTAACACTATTAAAAGCTTCTGTTACAGTAGACAGTCAGATCCTCAGAGAGAGAAATGTATTCTCACTTTATGAAAAGCCTAGCACATTTCAGATGATCAAACAAAAAGTGGTTAATAAATAATTCAGAGATCACTGAATATATGTGTATGGTTTTTTTTTTTTTTTAAATAAAGTATAAACAGAAAGATAGTGTAAAAAAAAAGAAATATGGAAATAAATACAACCACATCTGCAAGGAGATAACAGGTGTAAGATGAGCTAAACAAATATCAGAAAGTAGATACATACAGTGGCATTGCTATAAATAGCGCTTCTGTTAGATTAGAGATGACAGTCACCCAAAGCTGTTTCCTTTTTGAAGTTAGACTGACTAATACAAATCCCATTAAACAGTGGAAAAGAGTAATTTATTTTAGCTGAAGTCAGATTAGATTCTACCAGAGTTATTTCTACTTTCTTTCAAATGAAAATTTTACAAAATTAGTCTTGTAAGTGAGACCACGCTGACTAGAAACATACAGCGATATCCAGTCACTGGTACTGCAAGCATGTAGATACTGCTCATTTCTAGTAGCTTTCATATTAGTTGTGCTACAACAGCAGAAATGCTACAATAAAAATATTTTCAAAGCCACAAAGCCGCAAATTTTTCCTATCAAAATACAGTATGATCTTACTCCACCTGGAAACACAAAAATTGATACTAAAAGAAAGAATAAAATGCTTTTATTCCAACCTAATTACTTGGTTTTTCAAAAAAAAAAAAAGTGTTTTCCAATGAATTCTCTGACTGCAGATGTTAGAAGACACTGGATAAATAGAGCATTTGTCACCTGTAGTGGAATGTTAAAGTAGACTGAGTAGTGTCAGCCGAATAAATACAAGCCAAAAAGACCGTTACAATCATCTCTCTTTTCTAACAAACTAAAACCTGGCAAAAAGAGCTCTCCTGTTAGCTTAAAGCGCAATTAGCATAACAATTAAAATAATATTTTTACTGACTTAGATACAGTAAGTGGCAATGACATAATTTGCAAACTTCATTTTTACACCTCACAGAGATACACACTAATCATGGTTTAAGGAAGTTGACTAATTAATACATTCAAAGTTTGGCTTATTTTACAAGGTTGACAAATCTTTAATATATAATATGGTATGATTCTTAAGTTAAATATGACTTGTTATAAGACATATAACAAAGATTGGAAATGCTTGTCTTTTTGATGAATTCAATCAGAGTAGAAAATAATGTGCTCATTTTATGCTTAAGTATATCACGAAGGATGAAATTAGGTGTTATTTCAGGAGTACTAAGTCTGGAAATTGCTTGGCATTGCAAAGGCAATCTCATTTTTGTTTCAAGCCGAGCTTTCCAGGTTAAATCTAAAATAGCCACACATGAATAGTCAATATTTTAATTTCACTAGTGCATTAGCTTAAAGCTTATAGACCATTTATGTCTATAACCGTAAATCAACTCAAAAAATTATGAAACTATCTAAAACACAGTACTTCCAAAGCACTTTACTTTAGAAAGCAAACATTATGCAAAAGAAAAAAAGATTACTCAGTTAAACAAGCTACTTGTGAGCAAGATCACACTCTCCTCTTTATATAACTTGTATTCCACTCACTATCTTTATTATATTAAGAAAAACAAGGAATTCCATAAAAACTAGAAAGTAACAATGGTATTTAACTTGACAGTTTGCTTGCCTTCATTTCTTAGCTCTTAAATTGGTAGACAGCTGTCAAAAAAGAAACAATTGCTTGTTTTGGTTCTTAAACATGGTAGATCCACATTAAATGAATAATACCATTCTTACGAAGATAGTACTGTGATTCTAGCAAAATTCAAGTCTGCCTAAACAGCAGCCCCTTTCAAGAAGTTTTAAACATAGGTCAACTTAACTTCATGATTAAGTTGTACTAAAAAAATTACTTGTCCATCATGTTGAAGAATACAGCAAGTAGGCTATGGTAATGGTTTGCCATATAAGTTTTATCTTCATAAGCAATCAGTTATCTTTCTAAAAAAAAAAATAAAGCCCTATATAAAGTACTTGAAAAAAAATCTCACTTAAAGCCAAGTATTACCACAGAATTGCACAAAGTAACAAATTTATTATATACCTTTGTAAATGGTTTTTGTGTGAGGTTATACTCCTCACACACATGCAAGTTTCAAAGAAACGCGACAAGGAAATACAAAATGCCTTAACAAGCAGAACTTTAAGATAGACTTCTTTGAGATACTTCAAGTATCTTATACTTGAGTTCAGAATCAGTCCCAAACAGCAACAGCAGCTTTGAGAAGCATTTGTGTGCTGTAATTTAAAAATCACCTTCAGATCCTTAAGATGCTTATTTTGCAAATCTGGTTCTTCGCATCATAAAAAAAAAACAAAAAAAAAAAACTAACAAATGCTTATTCTCAGAACAAAGGACAGCATTACATATACTTCTGACTATGTAACACACACACGATAAAGGACAACAGTAGCAAAGATGGCTTCAAGATGGGGAGAATAACAGCAGTTTCAATACAAAGAAAAAAGGTCACTATGCAAATTATTTGTAACATTGCAGTGACGTTGACACTTACGAAGCATTACTTATTACATGAGAATTATGTAATCTTTTAAGCTAAATCATGCATTCATCTTCAAAAAGCAGCTGAGCTTTTATTGTATTTAGAAAAATTAAAAGCTTCCTTGGCATTATGTTTACAAATATACAAGAAATCTCGGATGATAAATCAAATATTTTGAAGCACTTTACCTAAAGCAGTTTACACAGTAGAGAGTGGTATGCTTACACAATTTATTTAGAAGTTAAAATTTAACACACCTTCCCAGAATCACACATAGTAGAAGGCAATGGAATGGAAAGCATAGTTTTACATCATGTGCAAAAGGAATTATGAATGGGGATAACAATTTTTATTGTACATGCATATTTACATCTTGGAGCCCTGGTTCCACTCTTGTTTACAGTGGTAGAAACCAAATTATTCAAACATAATACTAGTAATATGCAAAAGAAAATCTGGCTATTTTAATTGCATATAGGATTTAATAAACTGATTCTATCTTCCATTGTAATAAGCCACCAAGTAAGATGCACATAGATCTTACTAAGTTTCACTGTAAGGTCTACTTTATCTCTGATATAGCAAGTAAAATTTAGAAGACAGCATAAACTGTATTTTTGGAAGTAGAGGAGGTTGTGTCTTAACAGAAAAGCATTAAAGTGAATGTCAAAATAGAAGAGAGTAAAAAGAGGGATAGTACCCAATGTTAGACCACATCAGAAAGATAACTCTTCCTTTCCATCTCCACTTTTTAATTACGTTACTTGTAGTTGTAGAAGCTCTATGAGTGTTAACCTTTATTTATTTAAGTGTCCTACCTCATTATTTGGGTCTTGAATCACTTTATAAAGAGCTGGTACCAATGTTTTTTTTCGGTGCAATGTAGCTGCATAGCTGGAAATTTGTGTTTCAGGTAATGCCTAAAGTGGGGGGGAAAAAAGGGGTGGGTTAATCTGCTAAACTGATGCTTCAAGTCTCCACAAAAGCATTCAGTCTCACCCCAATATCAAGAACAATTCCTGAAGTTGACTAAGCTTTCCAGACTTGTAACCTAGTTCATTCAGTACCAATTCTTCAGACAAACTGCATTTGGGGGCAACACAGCAACATTCAGGGCTGACTTCAAAAGCAGTTTCAAATAACTTTTATAAAATCATTTGATCCAGCTTGAAATGAGGATTCTCTCTCTTCTTGATATTCCTTATTTAACAGGCACTTTTCAAAGGCTTAAATAAATTCAAGTTGATTAACCAAGAGGCGTGGATAATGCAAAATGAGCACAGACAGCACCACCAAGGAATTGCATCTGTAGAATTTGCATCCTTGGCTCCTCAACAAGTTTCGAACACCACCATGTAATGAATTTTTACATATATATGTTGCAAGGAATTAATAAATCTTAATTTAAATAACAGACTAATTTTATAACAGGTATGAAATCTAGTCTCTTCCCATTTATGCATTATCCTGTATTTCACTCAGCCTAAATATAAACAAGCAAAATAGCTGAAAATACTTCCAATTCTTCATGATAAAACAACTCATTTTAAGCAAATTATATGTAAAAACAGTCCAATATTTTATTTGATACTTTTAAAACCCCAAATATTTCTACTAAGTTTTTAAAGGCAAAATAGAGAAGTTGCTCAATCAGAAACTTAGGCAATATTATTCAGCTGTCAGTTAAATTCTGTCAGCTTGATCTACAAAGTAAGATATGTTTTAAAAATCACATTGTTATAGAAGACAAATGTTTGGTGCTACAAGAACAACTAATATAAATCAACTGCTATCAGAAATATGCATCATATATTAGGTACCAGTTGATGTATTTACATAGAGCTTTGCAAGCTTCATTCATTATAAAAACTTGAAATATAATATTTAAAATGGTACTAATGGTACAGCTATCATTCATCTTCTGAGCTCACCTTGAATTCTGACAGCCATTCTTCCACCACACCTCGTTCTGATCCTAACATTTTCTTACTTCTATAGCTTCTCTCTTACCTTTAGAAGAGAGAAAAGAAAGTAAAGAAGACTTCTGGCAGAAAAACTTAGTTTTGTAAAATCCTACCTCAATGAGAAGCTATCAACAATTTCACAGTACATTTATATAATATCCAACAACAAGAAAAGTTGCATTTCTGACAGCTTGTCCCAGTTCTAACAATGACCAAACCATTCTCTCTACATACTCTTTTTCAAAACTACTGCATATGAATGAGGGAGGCAGAAAGCGAAGGATGCGGTGCTTCAGGTCAAAATGTACATTATTTAAGGCAAATGCATCATATATTCTTGCTCCCTTACCAAATACAGCACAAAGAAAAGACAAGTGGAGCAAAATAAATAACATCATGGAACAAACCACAAAAAACATTGTAATGACAGTTCTACATACACCTCAAAGCAAAGCGGTTTCATAATACCAGTTATTAGAAATCCTAATAGCAGAACTTTACTACTTAAAGCTTGTTCTTAAAAGAACTGTGCAGCTTAAAAGAAACGCTTCAAAATTTAGCCCTTCTAAAAATACACTGGAATGCTCAGAAATATGCAAACAAAAAGAAACTTCGAAGGACAATTGTTAGCGTTATTTTCTGTTTTATAATATAATGATAATATTGTAACATCTTTTGAATTCTCACAAATTGCCTGCAAGCTTTCGAATCATTTCAGTCTCATCCTTATCTTCTCAGGCTTCACCTCCTTTGCATAGCTTCTCTCGTTAAAAGAACACATTCAAATATAAGATACCAAAACCTGCACTCAAAGTAATACCACCACCTGTTGAGAGACCTGTCATAAATGGCAAGCGTGTCCTAATGATACATAAGATCTCAAAAAATTAAACAGTGGGTCCAAAACACATTTAAGTATAATTTGTTTGAAAGTTAAAAATCAATTTCTTCAGTTTGCAGCAACAGCATTATACTATTTCACTCAGGAAAAAGTGAAAAATCTAGCAAAATCTGTTCTAACTACAGGAGAAGCAGAAGACATTGTAAAACAGAAGCATGCCTTTGCCTCTTCTACAACCTTCATAGTGTCTTGTACAGGAGGGTGTGCATGTGTGTGTGTTGGCAGGAATACTAGGAAGAGCTGTTGTAATACTTATATCAGCTTACAGCAGCATCATGAAGACCTTCAGACCTAACAAGCAGCAAACTGAAGAGATGAAGAAAAATGACCTGTAACAACGACATCATACACTCAGTACACAAAATTCCCTTCCAACATTCTTTGCTGGGTGATTTATTTGACTATCCCAGTTAAATAATAAAAGAGTTCTCCCAACTCCTTTAGATTACTTTCAGTACTAAATTTCTGACAAGGTATACATACACCTTAAAAATTCTGATAGCTTACAAAAGATTTACATGAAGAAATAAGAAGAGCCTTCTTCAAGATACAAAAGAAAAGAGCAAAAAGATGAAGGTTAGCAAAAAAAAAAAAAAAAAAGATACAATGTACAACCTCTGTATTTTGGAAGAAAACAATCTTGTGTGTATATATGACCTACCAGGGTCTTTTGTTTGTTTTGTTTTTTAAACACTGCATTACATTCCTAATCATATAGCTAACTTCACTACAGATTTATATACAGCCAATCATACAAGTAACTTAACAGGGTTTTGAGCACTGTGTGCAATAAAGAGCCTCCTTTCAACAGTTGCTTATGGGTCACAATGAAGAGATTGAACTAAAGCTCTTACCCTGAGTATAAAGTGACAAAAAAATCTTAACAGGATTGAAGTTGTTAGGTATTCAGATGGACTTAGCTTAGATCTCCAAAACTACTGGACTTCTTGCTGCTAAGAACTATGGAAAAAAAAATAGCATTACTGAAATCATTTTCCTTGCTCAAAACTATTCGTCTTAACTCTCAGACAGGAGCTTTGATCTAGTAGCCAAAGGGTAAAGGAGAGCTGGAGAAATTGTTACTCAGAACTTTCTGAGGCCTTTTAAATTCATCTGGCCACAGATCTCAACATGTAATTCTTGGGCAACCTTCCCAAAAAAGGAAAGCAATCAAGAATAGTGACCTGAAAAGATGTAAATGGAGGAGACAGCAAAATACAAGGGCTTTTTAAAGACATATTAGACACAAGAAGGTGGTGATTCTCTTACAGTTTCATCAAAAGTTTGGTTTTGACAGGACCTGCAATTAAACATCGACCTAGACATAAACAAGACAAAAAGGGACACCCTATTTTAAGAGACACTTTGATCACATTTTTTTGCCCCCCCCTTTTTTTTTAAAAAAAATAAAAATAAAATTATATGTAACAAAACTAACACACATTATCAGGTATCTTTATCACTTTTTTCCTAAAAACTACAAATGTTTAACAACTTCAAAGCATCCCTTTAAAAATAAAATAATAATTAAAACTTTTCTCCCCTTTAATACAGTCACCTTTCCTTTTAGCCTGGGATGCAGAAAAAACAGAAGCACTTCCAAAACCAGATGATAACAAGATAAAAGGTATTACTACTATCTGTAATTCCATAAACTCACTCATTAACTACATACAAGTAATGTGAAGAGCATCTGAAGTGCTATTATTTGCAAAATTTGTTGCAAATTTTACAGGAAAAAGGCAAGTAAACATGAAGTGAAATCTACTTTTTACAATTTTCTCTCAGGCGTGCTTTGAAAATTATTTAGGCTCAAACAGAAGTTATGGGCTTGGTATACAAGTTACACCATGGAAGTCCTGCGATGAATTTCAAATAGCCAGCCTACATGACTTGAAATTCCCTGTCTGGTCTAAGAACATTTTTCTTTTGATTTCTAAAGGAAAATTTGTACTTAAGACCAGGTCAGCACCTGATAAATGGAAAAAGAATTGAAATGCAATATTAAAATTGTGTTGGGAAGCTATAGTTCATGTCATACAACTTTGTACAAATGAGACTACACATACTATTTAGTATGGCCGTTGGCAGCCAGCAAGTCATTGAGATTGGGTATAAGAATCTGCCTCAGATTTCTAAAGCATGTTTAAGTATCCTAAGAGATATCAGATTCAGAAGTAACAACATAAGATTAATTTAAATTCAAGTAGCACATGGATGGCTTACTGTAGCCGAAATATTGGTAAATAATACTTTAATATAACAAAAAACAATTAAATAGCTCTCTGCAAACAAAGGTTTCTGAAGACAAAGCTTTCAATAGAGGAGGAAAAGATATCAGTTATCAGAAAGAGACGTATATACAAGTTAATTTAAAACATTACCAAACAAGCTACTGAAGAAGTTCATATTCAGAAAAAAAAAACAAAAAACTACAGGAAGTGCAACATGCAACCTTACCTCTCTTTAAAGAAGTCAGTTTTCTAAAGGAGGAAGAGGAGAAATGCAGTTTTTCAGCCTGGGATGCATTTGTCAAGTCTTCAAATACTGCCCTGTTTTCTGAAAGATAAAAAGAAACACATGATCACAAATAAGGAGAAATATAGTAAAGCAAATGTAACATATGGATATCTCTTAACCTGTAAAAATATATCAAATCCACTAAAAATATATTTAGATCCTTCCGTAACAAAGCAATTTACTGTTAAAAATACAAAAACAACAACAAACCCTCAGTATTTTAAGAGGGAAAAAAAGGGAGGGATTGCCTGCATCAAGTCCAGAAGGAAGTCTTTCCTACGTGGAAAGCCCTTACGTATTATTGACACATACTACTCCATGACTACTACAAAGGAAAACTGAAGCATTATTTCTTATGAAAAACAGCTGCAAGAAAGATGCAAGATAAACAAAAATTTTCTAAAAAATTAGCCGAATCAATGTGCTGACTTCAGAGATGTCTGTTACAAAAAAAAAAAAAAAAAAAGGTCCAAATCATAGTTGGAATATATTGAAGAGTCTTCCTTACTATTATTGTTAATACATATTTGTTACAGAACCAAAAATTCCAATGGCTTTGCAAAAACTCATACATTACACTACTGTCTACATTCAGGAGCAAGATCCCTTCATGCTGAGCACAAGGTAAATGGCACACAGGTGAGCCTAACCTAAGTAAACTAAAGTATTTCAGTATCTGGAGACCTCTATCAAGAAAGTGAAGTAAATGAACATTCAGTCATACCTAACCTGCTATCTCCAGTATCAAAACCAAAAGGTATAGATCCTGTGAAGTAACCAGGTGGAACCTTTTCAAAGCTGCAGTAAAAAGTTAGAAATCACTTTTTCTGCATATGAACCTAAGTCTTCTTGGCCCCAGAGCAAGAACCAGATATATAGCAGCAAATCAGACAAAGGAACTTTTATTTCTGTACAGTGTTCCACTGTAAACAAAAGGACTCAGCACAGATATACACAGACCTGACTGGAGCATCAGACTTAAAAATTCTCTTACTTGAAATTAAATATTTTATTCACCAATTTGCAGGGTTTGGGGAATTAAATTTAAGTAAAAGATATATATCTTTTAAAATTGCATAGCCTCACAATGGAATGTGGGGGGTTCAAACTGCTTTACATATACAACACAATAAATAACTGTCCTTAAATCAGAGACGATCATCAGCTGTAACTCATGGCCACCCTCACCCTCCAAACAATTACTTCCATTTGGAAGACCCTGTTAAAATCTGGAGTCATGTTGCTACTCTCCTCCAGCACTGCATAAATTTCAAAAAATTATATCAGATCTCTGCAAAGTTAACTGTTTCCTTAGAGAAGCCTTGCAAGAGGGAATTAAGATTATGCTTTAAAAACAAACAAACCAAGCCAAAACCATCCACACGCACTTCTTTACACTCCAGTGAACACCAACAGGTATGAAACTACAACCCAGCTCCAAAAGGAGAACAAAATGCACATAAAGCTACACTAAGGACTAAGTAGCATTGTATATTTTAAGTAAGAAGTATTCTTAATCTTGTAACACTACCATTCAGAGCAAGACCACAAGGAGAATGCTGAGCAGGCTCACTGTTGCAGAAGCGAAGTGCTCAAGGCTATCAAGGAAAAGAAAAGTATCTGGCCAGTAAAGATCTAGATGCTTGGAATAAGAGAAGAACACTACAAATAAGTGAAATGAATGAATCTGAAGTATCGGTGTACTGGGTCTGGCTGGGATGGAGTTCAACTTTCCCTGCAGCAGCCCATACAGTGCTGTTGAGAAAGGGAGTTAAGAGAATCTTACCAAGTAGTGATAGAGCGCTGATGGCATTAAACTAAGATGCTACTTAGTGTCTTTGCTAACTATGGTGTATTGTGCAAATTAACTAAAGCAAGAAGCTTTGGGCCCCTTTAACAAGGTCAGTCTGCTAATGAGAGTGTGAGCCTATCTTAAGAAACTGGTGGCAACTGGTCCTGCAGATGGACAAGAGCCAAGGAGCAACTGAGTCTGCGCAAAGAGGTCAACTAGCAGTGACGAGGAAGAGTCATCAGTCTTCATCCTTATGACCCCCGACGACCACCACCAGGATACACTGCACAAGCACAGATGGGAGGAGTTTATGGAAATGACTCCTTAGAACTAATTTTAAGACAAAGCAGGGACCAGTTATGAATATGTACAGGCATATTGTGAAACTTCATCATATGTAACTCTTTACTGCATATAACCAAGGCAAGTTGCCGCGTCAGGCATGCACAACTTTGGTGGGGCTACCCCCTGTGCTGCCCAGCACTGAATAAACATACCTACTTTACAATCTTACTGGCTGTGGAGTCCGTTGTCCACAAGTCACTGTGCTCTGCACTTGTAGCTAGAACAGCACTGGTATCACACCAGTGTTGTTTATTGCTGAGCAGTGCTGGCGCAGCACCAAGACTCCTTCCAAAGCCCCCCAAAGCCAACAGGCTGGGGGTGGGACATCACCAGGGTAGCTGACCCAAACTGCCCAAAGGGATGCATCTCTACCACGTGGTTTCACACCCAGCAGTAAGAGGGAGGAAAGAGGAATGAGGTTCTCGTTACGAAGACACCTATCCTCCCGAACAACCTCTCCATGTATTGAGGCCCTGCTTCCCAGGACATGGCCAAATACCACTCCCTGATGGGAAGTAGAGAAAACTAATTGTTTTTCTTCCCTCTGTGTTTCCACGCAGCCTTTGTTTGTTTTCCCCCACAAACACACATTCCTTCTTTTCCCTTTAATTAAATTATCCTTATCTCAACCCGTGAGCCTTCCCCCCCCCCCCGCCTCTTTCAAGGACACTTTCTCCCCCTGCCCTTCTTTTTTGGGGGGAGGGGGTGTGAGGGTGGTGTGAGACAGCAGCTGTGCTGGATTTTAGCTTCCCAGCAGGTTAAAATCACCATAATCTATAATTCTCTTGAGTTAGAATTTTGTCTGGCATATCTGAAGAAACCATGAAAATTCCAAGAGGTGAGAAAACAACTCAGAAAAGCCTTACTGTAAATGTTCTCAGTGTCCCGATGTTACTATCACAGTAAGTAAAAAACAGTATTCTAATGGCATAGCACCTAAGAAATGAACTTACAGAAAACCCACGTATAGCTTGTGGTCAAACAAGTCAACTCACAGTTGACTTGTTAAAAATTGAATTTGCGTTGGTGTCAAACTTCAGGTGCAACCTCATATTACAGTTAAGGTCACCTAGCGGCTATCTACCATGAAAAGGAAAAGTCCACCTTCCCCACCAGTATCCCACATATTTCTGTCCCAATGTCTGGGCCATGCATCTGACCTTCAAGCAAACTCCATTTTGGGACCTCTTCTAGTGTAAGCCAGCTTCAGCATCAAGGCTGTAACTGCAGCATAGGAAAGCAGATGTCTAAAAAGCAATTGCTGAAGGGCAGAGCTTGTGCTACGCCCTGGAAGAATACTGACAGAAACAAAACCCAGTGCAATGTCTTATTGTATACGATGGAGTAAGATTTTACTCATCCCTGAAGAACATTGTGTAGTGCTTTTTGTCTATTCACTTACCTTAGGAGAATGAGGGAAAACAGCTTTACACAACAGATCTTTTTGTGCCAACTCTACTGTATGATCCATCCACTTTCATTCAATGAAGATTTCCTATGAGTGGCTGCCTATATAAATACAGCTGTTCTGATACTTTCAGAATATTTTTGTCAGCACGTACATTAAAGACCAAGAGCATAAACTATATCCCAGGATGAAAAGCACCTTAAGTGCCACTCTTGCACCTCATTTACAGAAAAATGTAAACACAAACTATTTGTTTCTCGAAGGGTGTATTTCAGTCCTCCTGAAAGCCTTTTCCAGAAGTTAAGGCCTGCTTTGCTCATGTGGCTTAAAAAGGATATAGGCAAGCAGCTCTGCTTTATCATTTCAGAAGTAGTCCACACCTATTTCAGCCAAGATTGCTTTCCTAGTTCAGCTTTAGGACAAGTCAACTCTTCCCTTCAAATTATCCACCTGGATGTTAGAAACATTTTTCAGGACTTGCACAAACACTCAAGTTAGTCAGGACATGGATTACAGCACTGACTCCCTATGTAAGCACTTCCCAAAAGCTCAGTGCCCAGTGTCTGTGCCCACCCTGGAGCCAAAGCTCCCTGGTGGAGCGGCAGACACTTCACCAGGCTGCACCCGACATACTTGGACACTGTCTAGAGAGAAACATAAGCAGAACAACTGTGTGACTATCTCTGCTGACATGCAGAATTGCACTGGGATTTTCACGTGAGCATCTATAAAGCACACCTCTTGCTTACATTCACTGCCTGGTTTGCTGTGCCCCAATTAATCTTCGGAGAAAAATAAATTCATCAGGTACCACAGGGGTGTCTCTCTAAAACAAACTGGTTCAACAGCATTAAATCCTGTTCATATTTATTCTAAATTGAAACAGCCTCAACTAAGAGTATCAAATTTCATTTACAGAGTGTTCATGTCTGTCTCAAAGCAAACAGGGCATATAACAGATTTCTCATGTTTATTTTAAAGACTATTTTTTCCCTACTATCACTCAAAAGTTCTTATGCAGGAACCATAATAACTAAACAAATTTAGTTATTAGTAGCAGCAATAACTAAATATACTCAAATATTTTGACATAAGGACTGATTGTTCAGATTCCTTAAATACCACGCAAGCAAGCAAATTTAAAATCGTATTAAAGCACTGAACAATAGAGTTCTAGATGGGAGCACAGTCTCTCAATGTTAAAACCAAGTACAAAAAAAATAATTACTGAAAAAATTCCCATAAGAGCACTTAAAATCACCTTCATCATGTTATCCTGAACTGGTTCATTTGGTAAAACATAGCAGAATATGAGACATATAGCTGATGAATCATTAGACCTGAAATATTTACATTTAACATTAAAGCTACAAAATGCTGCTCTCAAAGGAAATCACAGCCTTGCATTGTACTTCTGCCAATTAAAGTTGAGATCTAAACAGAATTTTACCAAGCAAAAGGATTCTCCAAACTAGCTCATGGTATGCACAAATA